AAAATGAATAGAAAATCTTCCAATAGATTATTTATTGTTAGCCAATAACTGACTGATGAAGAAATCTTAAAACTCTGGACTCTGAAGCTGACGAATTCTGTTCTTTGTAATTTTCAGCAAAGCATCAGCTAATTTTCAGTTGATCTGAACTTTATAAAATAGTAAATACTATTTTTGTTGTAAATTCTCAAGAACAAAAATGCATACATCCACTTTCATGTATTTGGGTTTTATTAAAATTTAAATCATTGCTTTTTTTTTTTTAAGACAAATATTGCCAAGTGTGTGAAGGGAGTATAAAATAATAGCAGTGTCAAGGGAAAACCTGTCCTTTTTAAACACCGTTTTCTTGTAGGCACGAAGATTAAGCTTTGCTGAAAATTTCTCGGCCTTGAACAATGTTGGAGTCAAGTACAAAGTCAGCTCATATGAACAGTTTTATTTCACTTACAGGTTAGTTTTGGCAATTAATTTCCCTGATTAGATACTGGAATATTGTGCATATAAATTAGTACTATAGGTTCAGTGGGTTAAATCTCAATTTTTTTTTTAATAATGTTTTCTTGTTCATGTCAAAACATATTTGGAATTTTATATTTCACTACCAGATATAAATCTTTGCAAAGAGGAGCTTTGAAGAGTAAAACTAATATCAAACTGAAATTCCTGTCATTGATTTTTACTTGTAAAGCAAGAATTACCATAATAATTGGGATTTGGAATTTTACCATTACTGAAGACTTATGTTGAAGAATAAAAAAACACTAGGATTTATTGTTAAGAGAAATAATGTCAGTGTTGAGAATTTGACTGAGATTTCAAAATTGGATTACTTTAATTTAAATAAAGAATCCAAAAATATTCTTGCTTACAATTGGGAAGTTAACCTAGAGGAATTCTGCATAAGGAACTATCTAAACTTAGCTAACTTTTCCTTCATTTTTTTCTAAAAAAAAAAAAAAAAAAATCATTGTTTTCTTACAAGTCATTGTAGAGGGTGGTCCGAAAGTATTGTCACCCCTTACCACTCATCTGAAATGGAAAATTATATTATGCAGGGGGTGACAAAGACTTTCAGACCAGCCTGTATTATAGACTTTTATATAAGTACAAAATATAAGTACATAAAAAGTATAATTTTAATAGTACAAAAATAATCTGTCATGACAGAACAGAATTTTTGAAACTATCCAATTATCAAGATTTTTTGAAGAAACAAATTTCTATTCTTTTGAAATTTGTTGGTAGTCAAGTGGAAGAGTCAAAATTTTACTTTTTAATCTGCAATGCTTTATTTGAAATTTAAGGTTTTAAAAGTAATCAAAGTTAAAAAAAATGTTTTGACAGCTGGCACAATTGACATTTTAACTTGACTTGGTACATGTAATTTATATCATACTAGAATTTTTATGGTGTTAAAAAGTTCTGGAAAGCAAATAATAAAATATCCCACTACTTTTCAAATAAATTTACTATTCAGAATAATTTCAAATGTAGCAACTTATAAACTTGAATATAAAATAAATTTCCATATATAGTACCAATTTTTCTTTGGCATTTTATCTAAATCTCTGTAGTAATGGTAGCTGAGGTTCTACAGGATTTCAGTTGTATGTCTTGAAAAGAGAGTTAACTATCCTTTCTGATGATCCAAATAGAAGTGTTGTATCTGTTGTAAAGTGGGTCTATCTAAACAGAACTGTTAAGGCCTTTATAAGGATCTGCAATATAATCGACCCTGACTTGGCATCTCAACTTCACTCACTTTCTCACCGCGACATGGCTTCCATCTTCAAATATTTTCACGGCAACTACTCTGATGAGCATTTTTCCCTGGTACCCAGAATACATGAATTTAAGTGCTACTAGATTGACACCAAAGTCCTGTCCTTTTTAAATAGTTAAATGTAACCGCCGCTCCTACTCCAAGTTTCTTTTCTTGCACTTCCTGCCTGTGGAACACCTTTCCACTTCTTGCTTCCCTGATAACTACAATCTTCCAAAACTTAAATGCAACATCAATCACCATCATCTATCTTCTTGAACCCCGTTCAGTTTTTATCCTTTCCTCAGTCCCTCCTATACCAAGTCTCTTCTCTCACCTTCATTCTCTGTAGCCACCTGCATGCCACAGTGGCATTCCCACCTTGCTTGGGGTGAAATGATTAACAAAAATATTTATTATTTGATCCTTTATCAACATGACAGTGAAAATCGTCCGTTATAAAATTATATCTGTATTTGTTCTTAGGTGAAGTTCGTTTTAATGTAGTTTAGGCGAAATTTTTGAGAAGACAGTTGAAAGAATCAGTGCACATACTATGTTCAGATAACTCAAACAGCAGAATGAATATAGACGTTAATAGTTCATGAGAATTATTAGTCAGGAAGGAACATGTGATGAACATGCAATTCTATAAGCATGGCACAAAGATGAGAGCAGGTTCAAAGTTCAATGGGAAGCAACAAGACATCTCATGATTGATTGATTGTTTGTGTTTTATGGCTTATCAAACTTTTGCAGGTTATTTAAAGCCAGAAAATATTTTTAGATTGTAAGAATTTTTTTTTTTTTTGGGAGATGATAATTGTTTAGTGATACAAGTTTTACTAATTAACCCATAGCTGAATTGGCATGATATGTAGAGAAGGATTCATACCATTTCTAAGGGTATTTGTGCATAATTTTAACACTAATAAAAATAAAACAGCACCACTGATAAAGTATCTAAAAATAAATGTTTGAATATTACATAAAAACTCAATGTCAGTTTTGAATAAAATATTTTTACCGTTTTATTATTTAATAAAATATTTTTACCGTTTTATTATTTAATATGTTGGCTGTTTGATTTATTTTCTATGGTTCAACCGTTTGTTCAACCCTTTATTTAAAGCCAGAAGTAGTTTCAAGTTGTAAAAATTACTTTTTCTTTTTTTGAGAATGGTTTAATTAACCAATAGCTGGGGGGGAAAGAGGTGGATTCATGCCTTTCCCAAGAGTATTTGCATGAATTTAATGAACACAAAGGGAACTGGGACTCGGCTCTGATTAACAATTCCAAGCCATATTACATCACTCACACATCCAAGTTTATAGCACCCGGTACTCCCAAGCAGTTACTCATCTAGATACTGACCAGGCTTGACATTGCTTAACTTCTGTGATGGTATGGTAATCGGTGATTCAAAGTGATGTGGCAGTAAGTAACACAGATTAAGTACTGGATTTGTTGTTTATAAAAGCAAATGTACATATCCTTTCAGATTTGACAATGTTCCAGAACATAAACACTTGAGGGCTGGACGGTGCACAATCAAACCACAGAGGAAGTTAAAAAAAAAAAAAAAAACGAAAAGAGAGGAAATTAATCTGAATCAATTGTATACAATGACTGGTCCTAATATTTACTGATAGTCATTTTTGTAAAAAAACAAAAACAAAAAAAAGGAAAAGAGAGGAAATTAATTTGAATCAATTGTATACAATGACTGGTCCTAATATTTACTGATAGTCATTTTTGTAAAAAAAACAAAAACAAAAAAAAACTCAGCGATAATGTCAAATAGAAATCTAGAAACAAGCCTATGAAGAACAAATAGATTCTCAGGTTGAAGTAATAAAACCTAAGTTTGTACAAAGAAATGTTTTTACTGTATATTCTTTGTTGTTAGTGCTTATGAAAAAAAATGGGATCATGAGAATTAAAGTATCAGTTTTAGGAGTTGTTTAATTTGATGGCAGAATTGGTTCTAAGATAATCTTACCAAAATATTTTAAATCTTTAAACAGTTCAGAACATTAGGTATTAATTTTAAAGGGAAAATTAGCAATAACTGGTAGATTTTCTTTACTAAAGAGAACAGAGTAATGTCTGAGTGGGAAAATAGAACTACAGATTGTCAGTGGGTTGTGTCAAAGGGGAAAAAAATCCTTAAATTTGTTTTGTGAAATTTTAAAAAAAATGATTTTTGAAATCTGTCTGTATTTCTGAGATGAGGTATTATGTACACTATTTACATTATTCGGACAATTGTCATCTTTGTTGCCATATTCATTACAACATTTCAGTCGTTGTACACTCTGGCCTTCTTCAGGTGGTTGGAATGTCGAACCGAACCCTTTATTTCACTCACTAGGGTAGACTGTTCTAGATCCACATGCCACGTTTTTAATGGATGTCAATTATCAGTTATCTCCTGTTAATTCCCCTCTCCAAATTCTCCACTGCCCTAACCAGGTATTGAACTCACACTCTTTGGGTTATGTTTGAATTTCTGGATACTATAAACACAATTCAAACACAGATGTCCTCAAGGACACATGACACAGTGGATAAAGGCATTGGTTAGATTCAGTGACATGACTCAAAGAGTGTGAGTTCAATACCCAGTTAAGGCAGTGGAGAATTAACAGGAGATAACTGATAATTGACATCCATTAAAAACGTGGCATGTGGAACCAGAACAGTCTATCCCATTGAGCGACATAAAGGGTTCAGTTCAACATTCAAACCACCTGAAGAAGTCCGGAGCGTACAATGGCCGAAACGTTGTAATAAATATGGCGACAAAGATGAGGACAATAGTCTGAATAATCTAAATAGTGATTTTTTTTATTTTTTTGAATGGTTTTCTTTTTATTAGTTTGAATAATGTTTTTTCTGGAAATGATAGTTTAAGAAGGCTCAAATTAGCTGAGTTGTTGGATTATGACATGAGAGATCAAGTCAGTGAAATATGAATTTAAATTATGTTCTGTAGCCAAGTTGGAAGGACTCTGGAGAGTTTTTATTCTTTTAAGGAAAATCTGTACAGAGGAAGAAAAATAGAAAAAGGAAAGGGAAAAGATTTTAGCTTGTTTGTTTGTTTGTTTAACAGTATATCAACTCCTTGTGGGTAATTAATACTGAATTTTACTATGAAAATGTATTGCTGGTAACTTTTTCTAATAAATTTTTATATTTTCATGTTTTGACTCCCAGTTTGGGAGGGGGGGTTCAATATTTGCCCACAGCTGTGACTATAACAGGTTCTACCACCCTAAAAAGAAGTGGAAATAAAGATGAAGAAGAAGAAGAAGAAGAGGAGGAGGAAGAAGGGGGAAAAGAAGAGGAGGAGGAAGAAGGGGGAAAAGAAGAGGAGGAGGAAGAAGGTGAAAAGAAGAGGAGAAAGAAGGGGTGAAAAGAAGAGGAGGAAGAAGGGGTGAAAAAGAAGAGGAGGAAGAAGGGGTGAAAAAAAAGAAGAGGAGGAAGAAGGTGAAAAGAAGAGGAGGAAGAAGGGTGAAAAAAGAAGAGGAGGAAGAAGGGGTGAAAAAGAAGAGGAGGAAGAAGGGGTGAAAAAGAAGAGGAGGAAGAAGGGGTGAAAAAGAAGAGGAGGAAGAAGGGGTGAAAAGAAGAGGAGGAAGAAGAAGGGAGGAAAAGAAGAGGAGGAAGAAGGGGAAAAGAAGAGGAGGAAGAAGGGGGAAAAGAAGTGGAGGAAGAAGGGGAAAAAGAAGAGGAGGAAGAAGGGGAAAGAGGAGGAGGAGGAAGAAGGGGAAAGAGGAGGAGGAGGAAGAAGGGGAAAGAGGAGGAGGAGGAAGAAGGGGGGGAAAGAAGAGGAGGAAGAAGGGAAAAGAAGAGGAAGAAGGGGAGAGGAGGAGGAAGAAGGGGGAAGAAGAGGAGGAAGAATAAGAGAAGAAAAAGAAGATGAAAAAAGAACAAATAACAAGTTGGTGGATTTAATAAAAGCACATATTTAAAAAACGACTCTGCAAGTTGATAGCCTCTTGGAAACTGTACATTTTTTGTCAGTTCTTCAATGAATTTCATACAGGATGGTAAAAATAGCCATGCAGCTGATGAAGGTGCTTCCGTACAAGTTTTGATAAACCTAAAAGAAAATAAAAAGGATTTCAGAAGTTTATGAACATACGCACAAGACATAAAAGAAAAATTTTCAGTCCCATTGTTTACTGTAACCATTTTCATTTATGATTATTTTGATCTGTTTTGAACAATTTCTTTAAACCAATATCACCAAAGTATGGTCCTATTGGAAGCTAGAATAAATGGAAAAATCATCAATACAACTTCAGAATTTTCTAACATGCACTGCCCATGTATTTTCAAAGCCTTTAAATCAATTAACAATGAAAGTTTGAAAGATATCTGTCTATAATTCCGAGATGAGGTATTGTAATTATTTACCCTATTTACATTGGTCGAACTGTGGTCCTCATCTTCATTGCCGTATTCATGGCCGAGCGGATAAAAGTGTTGGTCAGATCAAGTGAAAGAGTCGTGAGAGTCAATACCTGGTTACTGCAGTGGTGAACAAAAGTCGAGATAACTGAGACATCCAGAAGAGGTATGGCATGTGGAACTAGAAAAATCTACCTTGGTGGACAAAATAAAGGGTTCAATTTGAAAATCCAGTCACCTGAAGACAGGAGTATACAACAGCCAAAATGTCGTGAATATGGTAACAAAGATGAGGACAACAGTCGAACCAATGTAATAGGTGTAAATAATTTGAAAAACATGTTTAATAATTTTAGTTTGAATATTTCCAGGTAAGAAAGAAACGGTAAATACTTTCAATGTAAACTCTGTAATCTTTGTCTTATGTAAGCTCTGAAAATATAAGAGTTGAAAACATTACAAGTTTTTAGCTTATAAATTCATAGGAAATGATGTAACTGAATATTTCTAAGCAAATAAGCTTATATAAGTTAAATAAGGAACATGTCTCCTCAGCACTTCTTCAGGCCAAGACACTCATAGGGCTGCATTTATGAAAACAAAAAAAAAAAAAGAAAAAACACTGCTTGTAAATACAGTATTGTTTTTTTTTTTGTTTTTTTTTTTTAACTTCTAGATTTAATTGTAAAGAATTCTTTTAATGGAAAATGAAAATTTAAAATTATTTGTTTTGTAAAAAAAAAAAAAAAAAGAGAGAGAAACAAAAATTACCTTATTAACTTTCTATAATTTTAAATTCATTAACTTTGCTGAGCTAAAACTCGTGGGTGATCCTGAAAGAATGAAGAGAAAAGAAATTACATTTAAAGATGGTGGCAAAATCATCAAGAGTTAGAAAAGTGAAGAAGAAAGAATAACTGAATAACAGAATGTTGTTTTAGAACATATCATGATCAGAATGAGTGATATAAATAAATTTTCAGACTAGAAACTCTGCTAAATCCGGCCATTAAATATTGAATGTCATGTTACTGTTATTCAAATAAATAAATACGGGGAGACTATTCTAATTTTTTTTTCTAAATATTGAGAGAGAGAGAGAAAAAAGAAAATAAAAAGAGGGAGGGAGAGAGAAAGAGAAAACAAATAGAAGAAAAAAAACAAAACTTCACAGGACTATGTAAAATTACCTTGCGGTGGTTCTGACAGCACCAAAAATTGGAAAAACACAATTGTTTTTGCACAAAATCAATTTGAAAACACGATTCTGTCGCCAGAATGAAAGGGGGACAACTCATATCGTGTTATACTTAATTATAAAACCCAGATTGTCTGTGTGTGTTTGTTTATATATGGGATCGGATTTCCTACATTTTTCGACCGATCTCAACAAAACTTCACTTTTTTTTGGCAGGCAGTGTTTCTTATTGTCTTGCACACTTTTTTCTTTATTTTTATATTCAGAATGCTTTAAAAATTCCATTTACAAGACAGCTGTTTATAATAAAATTCTATTCCCTCGATAGACTCATAACGATTGAAAACAATGTTTTTGTTTGAGTTTGGGTTTGACCAATTCGTAAAAAAAAAAACTAATTAAGACATGCGTGTCCGTCAACTTTAAATAATAATCTTTGTCAATTTTATTTTTCAGTCTTTATGATGGTCGATACTTGATCTATCTCTTACTGTTACGTCCCCTGGGCAACGCTGGGCTCTACTGCTAGTATAATATAATATTGTATAATAAATTATAATATTGAAGCACTGACAATTGAACTCATAATAATAATATTGTACAGAGGATCTTCTCTCTGTAGTGTTGGTGGGAGGCTTTAGAAAATGGATGTAACTTTGGCAAAAGAATTTGAAAGAAAAAAAGAAAAAAAAAAAAACGTGTCTCTCCATTGCTTCCTCAGATCAGAATACAGGCAGGACTTCATTTTTATAATATAAAAGAAAAACAAACTTTGTTTACCTTATCGATGAATTCTGACAAGTCCCTTCGCATAGCATAGGCATCTTCTCCATCAGCATAATATTTGGGTTCCACTTCACTGATCCTTAACAAAAAAAAAAAAAAAATGTGAAAATAACATCTTGGGATGGAAATCCAGCCATAATTTTAAGTTTTCCTAATATATACACTACAGTTCAAAAGTTTGAAGCCACCCTCAGAATTAGCATGGGATGAACTTGACGCAAGAGTGGAAAAAATGAAAAAGAGCTCTTAAGAGTCATTATAAAAAATGGAATCAATTATCAAACTTATACTTTCAGAAACTTTTGCAATGAATGCCAAACATTTGTACTGCAGTAAACAAGGTTAAAGGAGGCTATTTTGACGATAGCAATATTTAATCATAAAATGCTTTTCTTCTTTTTTTTTGTCATAATAAAATTTCTAATAAAAAAAAATCATGTCTCACTTTTTTTTTTAACCATGTATAATAATTTTCTCTTAAAGTATAAAACTACTACATTTTAGGCCAATTTAAAGAATTACCATTTTGAACTGTAGTGTGTGTGTGTGTATATATATATATATATATATATATATATATATATATATATATATATATAAAAAATGGTAGTACTTGTTAGGAAAAACTTTGGATAGCTCAGCTTGCAGTAGAACAAATCGGTACCGAAGGAAAAATTGGAAATAAAAAAAAAAAAAAGAACCAAGAACATTAAAACCAGACGATATAATCGTCAAGTGTTTAAGCTCCAAGTCCAAAGAAAAAAAAAAACAAAACAAAACAAGTAAAAAGATGACGACGTAGAGTGCTCAATACGCTAAGTAGAGCAATAAACTAGAATGATCCGAAGGAGTCAGGCAAACCTAAGTAGGTTTGCCTGGCTCCTTAGGATTATTCTAGTGTGTTTTTATATTTTATATATATATATATATATATATTTTTTTATAGATACAAGTATTTAAGCAAATGCTCTGTTTATGATAAACAGTATTAAATAACATTTACCGCCTGAATGTCCGGAATTAGAAATTTTCATAGAAAATATTCGTTCATAGACAGGATTCGACCTGCATCCTATACTGGAACCGCCATATATACGCTGGCGTGCCTTGACCACTCGGCCACCATGAACCTTATGGTAGACAAGGTCGAATTTACTGTTATAAACTACAATCTTCCATGAATCTCGTACATTCATAACTGCTCTGGCGTATCGAATGTAAACAAATGACGTCATATGTTAAGAAATGGACGAGGTCCGACAATTTATTTATTAAAGACATTTTTATTTATGTTTAACGTTGTTATTTTTATAGATACAAGTATTTAAGCAAATGCTCTGTTTATGTATAGGATGCAGGTTCGAATCCTGTCTATGAACGAATATTTTCTATGAAAATTTCTCGGACATTCAGGCCGGTAAATGTTATTTAATACTGTTTATCATAAACAGAGCATTTGCTTAAATACTTGTATCTATAAAAATAACAACGTTAAACATAAATAAAAATGTCTTTAATAAATAAATTGTCGGACCTCGTCCATTTCTTAACATATATATATATATATATATATATATATATATTTAATCATTTCACCCCAAGCAAGTCAATAAAGCCACTAAGACACAAGGGGTTACTGAGTGTGAGAGAAAGAAGAACAAACATTATTAATGAAAGAGAACAATAAATGAACAGAAATTAAGACAGAAGATAATGATTGACATTGCATTTAAATTTTTAAGATCAAAATTGACCAAAAATTAAGACGCCAGAAGAGACTTCCACAAGTGAAAAGTGCGAGAAAAGAAACTTATGGTTACATCTAGCCATTTTGACTGTAAAATGATGAAACCTTGCCACCAATCCAGTAATACACTTAAAATCATAAAATCTAGGTACTATAGAGGAAAATTCATCAGGACATTTACCATGAAAGTATTTATAGAAAAGGCAGTAGGAAGCTATGTTACAGCAGTAGGAAAGTGATGGAAGCCAAGATGCCAGATCAGGACAAATAATATTGCAGATTGTTCTTTGGATCTTATCAAGAATGTCTAAATACATAGCACAAACACAAGACCATATGTGGCAGCAATATTCAAAGCATGGACAAATGGTAGACTTATAAATATGTGAGATAGCTGTATTGTGCTAAGATTTCATACACATCAATCTGAAGCAGATCTGGAATGACATTAATTAAGAACAATGACGTACCATATATTTCCATATATAAGCCAACCTTAGATAAGACGAAATCAAAAAATGTAGCAAATTTTCATGAATTTATCCTATACTTGTATTATAAGACAGTTGCTTATTGATTATATAAAGATGATGTTATTGAAAATGCTATTTACTGTATCGTTAGAAATTCAAAGTAAACAAAATAACAAAAATATATCATGATTTTCCTGCACATATCCCCTAAAAGTGAGACCATTGTTTTGCTTACATTTCATCACGTGATCTCTAGCAAATACTGACTCCTCTTCTTCGTCCTCTTCATTTCCTATATGTTAAAACAGTTACAAACAGCCTGGTGTACTAATGGCCATTTACTTATACTTCATCAACAATCACAAAATACTGCTAATAACAGTATGATAATAGTACATTCCAGTTTCAAGATTTATTTTTTTTTATTCTGTCTGTTCCTAACTTTCATCTAAGCCAGTTGAAAATTCTTATTAACTTATACCGATATCAACCACCAGCAAAATGAAGAAAGTATGAAGTGAAGTTTAAATTGAAAGTTACTGATCTACACAGTTGTAAATTGATGCTTACATTTTCTCAGCTGAGAAAAGTTGATTTAATTGATATGGAATTATTCTTCGAATAAGCAATTTATTATGAAGTTTTGCCAGTAATATATAAGGCAATAATGGGTTTTATTATCAGTTTATTAGATATTGTGAATCTTTTCATGTACATTGTTGGTTATTGCACCAAGGCCGAGGTTACCCTACTGACAAATATAACTCAGAATTTATGGTTTCTTTTTTAGAAGTGTAGTATAAGGTGACCCCCAATTTTTAAAGGCGATTTTTGAGATTTAAAGGTCATCTTATAGATGAAAATATACGGAATATAAGATTGTGATCTAAACAGAACAAAATAACTAATTTAGATACAGGCTAAAAGGAGATAGATTAGTAGCTTAGATCCATTTTCTTTTTCCTAATGATTTCATTTTAACAATCTGACAAGATCTCATAAAAATAAATGGGGAGCTTCATCAATTTGCAGTGTGTCAAGGTTATTTTGTTTACTTTTTGACTATATGAAGGATGGACAAGAGAGCTTTGCTCCAGATTTAAAAAATTCTACCTATGTCTTAAGCAAACATTCAAAGGCAATTCTCTCAGCCATCATTAGTTTTATTCTTTATTTTTTGTAAATATACAAATTTTTTTCCCCATGGAATTAAAAATTGTCTAAAAAAGACAAAAATTATTAAAAGTGTTATCATCAAAAGTGAAGAAATTTTAGGTTAATTTTCAAAATAAGTCTCAAATTAATTTTTAAGAAAAAGCCTTTCCCCATTTTACAAGATGGCCGACAACAATCCATCACTAAATATGCAGGTAAAATGCTTGACTCTCTGTACTGCTCAAATAAGTACCTGACTCCTCATGTTATCCTCTACCTTTATAAGAGCCAGATGAGGTTAAAAATGGAGTACTGTTGTCATATTTGGTCCTCACTTTCCAGTCGTGATAGAGTTTAAGTGTCTCAGAGTCGTTGTGGATAATAAATTATTTTCCACCCTCCAACTTCTCTCTCACAGGCAGAATGTGGTGAGCCTCTCACTGCTCTATTGCTGCTTTCTTTGGTTTCACTGGGTCTAACCTCCCTGGGCAGGGCCTGCCATGCCATTTAGATTGTAGCAAACCACCCACATTCCCTCTGTATTCCACTATTGAGAAGTTTCACTCAAACAACTTCTCTCCGCAAATTACTGCTCTGTGGAACTGACATCCAAGATGTTTCCCCCAATCATTACATTGTTCAAGTCTAGAATTAACCATTATCTTCCTCTTTTATATGCATAAACTACCCCTTAACATAACCCTCTACCTTGAGTGCCTCCTGGGCCTTGTACTGAGTGAACCTTTATGTAAAAAGAAATAAAAGTTTATGACTCATGTCAGAAGTATAACAAAGTCTACTAGTGTTATACCGGGACATACCTATTCTATTGTTAATAGATTCTCCCACAGAATAATAAGTAGTAGTAGTAGCAGTCGCCAGGGTTCAGAGTGGAGTTGGTGTGTCAGTCGATGTCGGACATTAAGGTATCAATCACCACAACTAGATTGCTGCGTCATTAACATTTCAAGTTCCTAACGTTTTGAGCGTCAAACCCTTTAGGACTGACTTAGTGAAATACAAGCCTCCACTGTGAAAACTACTCTACAACTTCGATTCACATTAAAAAAAAAAAAAACTGGGGAACGAGTTACCCGCAGCCAAGGACATGCAGCATTATTAAATGATTTAAGTCAACAAGAAGAACCTACAGAAACTGTGAGTCCATTGTTAAGAAGCACAAAGCGGAAGGTTGTTTATGGTAACACTATGGAGGTATAAAAAAAAAAAAAAAAAAAAAATATAGAAAAGTGAATTGGCTATATGATGTACTTGGTGAAAGGGGAAAAACTCTGGTACGGTAACTAGATCAGACGACGTTTTTCAGATGTGGTTGACAGCGGTCCCGCAAAAAAAAAAAAAAAAAAAAAAAAAAAGCAGATGGAGGTGATTTTCAATACATTTGATCTAACAATGCCTGCAAATAATTTTATCTAAGGTATGCCGATCCAGAAGAAAAAAAGAAAGGCAACTGATCATTTAAAAGTGGATCAAAAAACGTAGGAAATACGCTACGATGTTGCTTAAAAAAAAAATTTTTTTGTTGTTTTTTCTTCATATTTTCTGTAAAAAAATGAAAAATAAATAAAGAAAACTTTTTACTCCTACGGAGTAAAGTTTTAGGGAGGGATGTTATACCGGAACATACCTATTCTATTGTTAATAGACTCTCCCACAGATAATAAGTAGTAGTAGTAGTAGCAGTCGCCAGGGCTCAGAGTGGAGTCGGTGTGTCAGTCGATGTCGGGCATTAAGGTATCAATCACCACAACTAGATTGCTGTGTCATTAACTATTATTTCAAGTTCCTAACGTTTTGTACGTTGAACCCTTTAGGACCGACTTAGTAAAATACAAGCCTTCACTGTGAAAACAACTCTACAACAACTAGCAAAAGGAATGTGGAAAGAAACTAGGTGTAGAACACAAAATTCACTAAACTTTGATTGTGGGGGTGGCACTGACGTCTTCCAATGTACATTATGCATCAGAAATATCTACCATGTAATAGTAAAACATTATTTAGATAACAACACCATTGCCACTAATGTCTGACTATTATGTGGGAGCTATTTCTGCTGCATCCTTTACTTTATTTCCTCAAGTTATTGTTTGCTTCTCCCCTAGAGAAACTTTAATTAGAGAATAGGTTAAAAGGTAAACTTACGAGAATTTTAATGTATTTGTGTAGAGATGAAGGGCAGCTCGGTTACTTTTCCTGACATGGAGACTCACATATTTGGCATTGAAACACTCAACCATTGCCCGAGAGGCCTGATCCATCAATTTTTGAGCCAAACCCAAACGTCTGTATGACCTTTTTACTGCCTTTAAAAAACAAAAAGTCAAATACATAATGAAATTAGAAACTTCAAATCAGAAGCAAGAAAATTTTACCAATGTAAATTTCATTTTATAAAGTTATATACAAAAAGACTGGATATTTTCAGCCAGTGTTGGTTCATATAATCTAAACAATGATTTGATCTCAAGATATTATTTTTAATATTATTTTTCCCCACTTAAAAATTTTTTTTTTTTATTCAAGTGATAACAAGAATGAAAATGAAGACAGTTTGGTATTACTGTGGAACTTTGTGGTAATTAACATATTTTTATAATTTAATCCCATTAAATTTAAAATCAACAAGTTGATACAAGCCTATCAGAAGAAGAGGTTAGATTTTTTGTCTTCACAGTGACCTGTGATTTTACTTGTTTTACATAATTGCCATAACTATTTTGATAATTTCATCTTAATATATGGTATCTTGATATATTAAGAACTACAGCCACATCACATTGAAACAAAGGTTCCCTTATCCTCACTGAAGTTAAGCAATGTTGAAACTGGTCAGTACCTAAATGGGTGACTGCTTGGGAATACCAGGTGCTGTAAGCATGAATGAGTGGGTGGTATAATGGCTCAGAGTCGTAATTATCAAAAAGCTGAGTTCCAATTTTAGATGAGTTTGTTATATTCATTTATATGCAAATACCCTTAGGAAAGGAATTAATCCATCTCTTCTTCCCCTAGCTATGGGTTAATTAATAAGACTTGTATCACTAAATAGTTATCTAAAAAAAAAAAAATATTCTTACAATATAAAAATATTTTCTGGCTTTAAATAACCTGTAAAAGGTTGATAAGTTGTAGAAAATCAATCAATCAATAGGTATATTAAAACAATGTTCCTTGAAATAATTGAGGGGAAGAATGTAAATCTGTATTGATGAGTAATAAGAAAAGTTATTGATTTACAAATAAAATCCTTTGAGATATATATTTATATTTCTCATTGATAATTTTGATCAGGAAAGATCAATCTGCAAAGTAAAAGGTTCTATATATATTTCTGAGACACTATTTACATTATTTGGACTATTGTCCTCATCTTTGTTGCCATACTTATCACAACGTTTCAACCATTGTACGTTCCGGCTTTCTTCAGGTGGTTAGAATGTCGAACTGAACCCTTTATTTCGCTCACTGGGGTAGACTGTTCTAGTTCCACATGCCATATCTTATGGATGTCACTTATCAGTTATCTCCTGTTAACTTCTTGAGGACACATGGCACAGTGAATAAAGGCGTTAGTTAGATCCAGTGACAGGACCCAAAGAGTGTGAGTTCAATACCTGGTTAAGGTGGAGGAGAACTCAGAGAGGGGAATTAACAGGTAACTAACATCTATTAGACATGGCATGTGAAACTAGTACAGTCTACCCCATCGAGCAAAATAAAGGGTTCAGTTAAACATTCCAACCACCTCTAGAAGGCCGGAGCGTACTACAGCCGAAACGTTGTGATAAATATGGCAACAAAGATGAGGACAATAGTCCGAATAATGTAAATAGTGTAAAAGGTTCTAATTTTTCTATTAACAAACATTTTTACCTAATTAATATTGGACAAAAATTATCTGATGTTTTATCCTGAATAGAAAAATAAATGTATACAAAAAAAAAAAAAAAAAAAAAAAAAATGTAGTTTTCATAAAAAGAAAGACTTTAATAAAAAGAATTTCATTTTTTGATTTTCAGTTTTGTGTTTTATGAAAAATATTCAACAAAATGAAAAATGGTTGAGTTTCTCTTTCACAATATTCCAAGAGGTGGATGTTGAAAGGTTATTCCAGTTGTAATTCAAAGTTAAAAATAAAGATAAAATTATCAGACAAGAGCTTCATTAGCAGAACTCATTTGCATTCTAGCACATCTATCTTTAGAACAACAGAAGGGAGTAAAAGTCAGGAGGTAAAGGAAGCTGATAAATAAATTAATGAAATAAGGGACGACAATTCACAATAAATGGAGAATACAAAAAATACTAAAAACAAAAACATGCCATACTTACGTTTAGTGAAAGCTTTTTAATACCTGTCTACATTTCCGAGACGAGGTATTGTAATTATTTGTTTATTTTTCGAAATGAAAAATGCTGGAACATACAACAGCCAAAACATTGTGAATATGGTAACAAAGATGGAGGACAACAGTCTAACCAATGTAAATCAGTTTCTTTTGTATAGGTTTTCTAGGTTTAATATTCATTATGAGATAATTAACAGAAATGATATCTCCAATTTTATATAAAAGTTAATGTTGAATAAGACATATTTGTATAATAATAATAATAATATGTGTACATAAAGAAATAAATTGGATAATACATTTTAGTCGTGAGAAAACTTTTTCTATGCAAAATATGAAAATTATTTGGATGAGAGCAATTACTAAAATGCCATTTCCTTTTTAATTTATATGCTTAAGTACCTACATCTGCTTTTATAAGTGTTTGTGTAGAATAATATATTGTTATAAGTATGCATTATTTTTCTAATTTTGTTTTTTTTTGGTTTTTTTTTATCATGCTAGAAGATAAAATCTTATTTAATCTATTGGCATTGAAAAATATTTTCACTTTATAGAATAAGTTTTCAGTTTAACCCTATGACACTTGTGGTATCATTTAAGATAACAATTTAGAAACTAAATATAAACATATTGATTTCCCCAAACTGAAAGCAAAATTTCTAGCCTACCACAAATACTGGTCGGTAGGACATATGATACCAAGCAACACTGCCATCAAGTGAACAGCTGTGGCGCTATAGATGATAATTTTTGTAAATCAGTTTTTGTATCTGTCTAGGTTTCTGAGATGAGGTATTGTAATATTATTTACATTGTTCTGACTGAAGAAGGCCAGAGTGTACAATAGCTGAAACGTCAAATATGGCAACAAAGATGAGGACAATAGTCTGAACAATGTAAATCAGTTTTGTGTTTAGGTTTTCTAGGTTTTATCAAGACATGATTAACAGAAATGATATCTCCAGTTTCATATAAAAGTTAATGTTGAATAAGATATTCTAATCTTTGTTGCCATATTCACATTTCAGCCTTCTTCAGGTGATTGGAATTTTGAACTGAACCCTTTATTTTGTCCACTGGAGTAGAATGTTCTAGTTCCACATGCCATGCCTCTTCAGCATGTCTCAGTATCAGTTATCTCCCTTTAACTCAACTCTTCAAGTTTTTGTTCCTCTCTGCTGTAGCCAGGTATTGAACTCACAAGTCTTTGGGTCAATGCTTTTATCCACTCAACCCTGGTTGACGAAATAAAGGGTTCAGTTTGAAATTCCAATCACCTGAAGAAGACTGGGGTGTACAATGACTGAAACGTTGTGAACATGGCAACAAAGATGAGGATGATAGTCCAAACAACGTAAATAGTGTAAATATAAGCTTTTTATATAAAATACTTTTTAAATAAAAAGGAAGGGTCACTATTTACATTGTTCACACCATTGTTCTCATCTTTGTTGCCATATTTATCATGTTTTGGCTGTTGTATGCTCTGGCCTTTTTCAAGTGGTTGGAATGTCAAACTGAACCCTTTATTTCGCTTGCTGGGGTAGACTGTTCTAGTTCTACATGCCATGTTTAATGGATATCCTCAGATGACAGGACCCAAAGAGTATGAGTTCAATACCTGGTTAAGGTGGTGGAGAACTCGGAGTGGGGAATTAACAGGAGATAACTGATAACTGACATCCATTAGACATGGCATGTGGAACTAGAATAGTCTAACCCAGTGAGCGAAATAAAGAGTTCAGTTTGACATTCCAACGACCTGAAGAAGGCCAAAGCATACAACAGCTGAAACATTGTGATAAATATAGCAACAAAAATGAGGACGATAGTCCAAACAATGTAAATAGTGTACATAATACCTCATCTCAGAAATATAGACAGATACTAAAGGAAAGTTCATAAAATAGAAAGAGAACTTTTGGAAAGAAAGTTAAGAGTATTTAATAGTTCAGATAAAAATCAAAGACTAGCTTCAGAGCTGCCATATTGAGTGGCATTTAAGTTAGCTCTTGCATAGGGTTCGTGATTGGGCCTTCATCACAATAGGTAGAGAGAAGTAGAGGCGAAAAGCAACAAACTACAAAAGAACTCAAAATTGAATGCTGCATTTAACTACAATTCTTCTGCTGCCACTTAATTCAAAAACAATTTGATGTATGCAGGCCATTTTTTTTTCCATACAAACATTTATTTCATAGGCTACTTTTGCTAGATTTCACAATTAATTTTGATTATTCCCAAATTCATTTCCAACTTTTAAAGATTGTAATCATACAAAAAAATAAATAAATAATGCCAAAAACAATCACAGTAATGAAAACTTGGGAATCCAAAATTTCAGGATTGCGGATTCGGGTCCAGCCTGGAATGTTTTTAATTTGCTCATTCAGTGGGCCTGATTCCAAAATGGTAATGGTATGTTGGGCTACAGCCTCTAGGAGTAACATTGAAAAAGTGTAACACACTGATATTTGCATTTATTATGTAGATAGTGCCAAAGAACTAGATTTAAATGACAAAGAAATTAAATTAAAATATAAGAATACATTTAACAATGTGTATATCGCAATATATAGGGCTTGATGGGACCAAAGAAGCAAAGCTGATTGACAGAAATTACAAAAATATATTATCAAACATGAGGATGTCGTTAGCAGAAGGAACAGATTGTGCAACATTCACCAAATTTTCTTTACTTTTTTTTTTTTTTTGTATTTTTATTCAAACTTTTTACTGAACAATGTTGTAGCAGATTTTAAAAATGAGTGAAACCTGCTTCAAAGAAAATTGTTTTCTTATGGCAAAACTTTGCTTCACAAATGTTTCACTGACAAATGTAGATTTGATAATTGACACGAGAAAATACTACAATGTAAATTACTTGCTCTTTGGTTGCTAACATTTTTTTTGTTAACATCGTAGAAGTTATTTAACACTCCAGAATCTTTAGAATTCTGAAAGAATCCTAAGATGAAAATGGAGATCTTCTTTTACAGGGAACATTTTAAGGTGTTCAAGTTATGATTTAAATTCCTTTTGCTGAAATTTGAATTATTATGATAGCAACAAGACAGTCAGCATGGAGTGAATGTGATCCAAATACACGAAATATTTAAAGTTATTTTTATGTATCACCTGTAGTGGTTGTGAATTTGTTAACATGATTCATCATGCCACATATTGTAATCGGAATGCCAAACTTTTCAAGTGATTTCGATATCTGAAAGTATCTTTTTTGTCAAATTCATTACTGGTTTTGATATGAAATGAAGATCACTTGAAAAGAGACAAATGTCAAATATGACAGCAAGAGATTTTAGTTTTTAATTGACTGATTGTATATTTTACGGTTTATCAACTTTTTGCAGGTTAGTAGGACTTGTATTATCAAATTATCATTATCTCCAAAAATTCTTACAATCTAAAAATATTTTCTGGCTTTAAAGCCAGAAAATATTTTTTAAATGTATTCTTATATTTTAAAGCCAGAAAATATTTTTAGATTGTAAGAATTTTTGGAGATAATAATAATTTGATAATACAAGTCCTACTAATTAACCCATAGCTGGAGGGAGAAGAGGTGGGTTCATACAACTCCCAAGAATATTTGCATGTAAGTAAATATAAGAAACTTGACTGGAACTTGGATCTTTGATCTCATGTTCCGAACCATTATCTTTTACACCACCAGCACATTTAACCTTACTGTACCTGGTATTCCCAAGTAGCCACCCATCTTGGTACTGACTAAGCTCAATATTGCTTAACCGGTGATTGTACAAGAATCAGAGATTTCAGTTTGGAAAAGTTCCAACTAAAATAAATTAAAGAGCAAGTTATATTTTTTTTCTATCAAGTATATTTGAAATTAGGACCTTTTCAAGAATCTGTTGGCAACATTCTTACACGAGAAAGGATTGAAGGAAGATTGCAAGCATAACACTCCATGCAAATGTGGATAAGGAGGAAACTAGTAATTTCCTTGAAGTTATAATTCAAAGAACACAAATCCAATAGGAAAGAGAAAAAGTATGGCATGGCAGATCATATATATATATATATATATATATATATAAAAAGGAAAAGACAAACATTGCTCATTCTGGTATGAGGTTCATATAGCTGATATTGATAAAGTTGAAAGAGGCAGAATATATTTGTTAGCTGTGCAGGATGTCAAGCTAGTATCGGTTTCAGCTGTGAGTGGTTTACTTTCCTGAGGAACTCGTCCATGTATAATTTGGAAATCTAAGTACATAGACAGCTGAAATAAACTAATTCACTTGTACACCTTTTCTTCTGCTGTCATTTTTAATGGAGAAATAAGGTCTTTCTTCTTTTCTTCCTGATTATACACCAGATGAAAGCATAAGATGAGATCAGTTGAAATATTGTACTAACAATATCATGAACACAATCAATGAATTTAAACATTCAAACAAAATTTATAATTTCAAAGATTCTTCTGAAAGTTACATAAATCATGAAGGTAACAGTGAATGAATTTGATTAAATTATTTTTAAGCACAATCGACGACTCGGCCAGCTGGAAAGGAATAGAAAATAAATGATCCTCTGACAAGAGACAAACATAAATCAGACAGTAAGGAGAAATGATTTAATGAAAGATATTAAAATATTTACAAATTTAGGAAATGATCCTTAGACAATAAAGAAACTATGAACTAACAACGATCTTCTTTAATTTCTTATTTTAGAAGAAAAACTGTCTACTTAACTTACCCCACAAATGATAGCAACAAAGAATTTTGAAACTTTTTTTGCAAAATTTGTTTAAAAGCGAATCCAGATTTTTATAAAATTTACCATTTTCTGCATGGTTATAAATTTAAAATGCTATTTTACATTTTACAAGACCATTGTTTGTTTATATATATATATATATATATATATATATATATATATATATATATATATATACACACACAATAAAATTGCATGTATGTATAAATATATTTCTTCAACAAGTGTTAATAATGAGAAATATTTGCAAATTTAGGAAATGGTCCTTAGACAATAAAGAAATTATGAACAGTCAGACTGTATTTGCACCTGAAGTTTGCAGCAACTGCATGAAACTCTGAGTTGTGTTATCAACATTAGATATTGTGTGTGTGTATATATATATATATATAATGTGTTTGTATTTAGGCAGCATATTTTCATTCAAATAGGTTTACTTATATAATTTAGACATACTATGCCTGTTTATTTTGTTTTCATCATGTATGTAAATAATAAGAAATACAAAAGCTGCATAGAAAAACAAACTAAAAAACCTTGTGAATTTTAAATTAATAAAGCCTGATAAAAAATGCAGTAAAATGAACAGTAAAAAGGTTTTGAATTCACAGAGATATATATACACATACAATTTAACCCCTGAAGATGGTCTCAATGGACTGAATGTAGTTGGGAAAAAATTTTGTTTCTTTTTTTTTTTCTTAATAAATTTTCTACGCCTACCAAGAAATAGGTTTGTGAACTTGAAAGGATTAAAACAGACATAGTATGTCTAAATTATTTAATCAAACCTGTTTGAATTATATATATATATATATATATATATATATATATATATATATATCTGAAGAAATATAGTCTTAAGGTGTGCTATATTTATGGGATAAAGTGCTCGATGTCAGAGATAGGTGGCCTGACAATTGCATATAGCATGAAATAGACTGTCGTCTCTAAGTGTTGACTTCTATGTTCACTTATATATATATATATATATATATATATATATATATATATATATATATATGTATGTATGTATGTGTGTGTGTGTGTGTATAAAGACAAGGAAAATTTAACTTAGCCAATGCGTTTTTGTCCTTATTATGACAACAAAAGAGATTTCAGTTTTTAATTGATTATTTTTTTTTTTTTTACAGATTATCAATCTTTTCCAGGTTATTTAAAGCCAGAAAATACTTTTAGATTGTAAGAATTTTTGGGAGATACTAATGATTTACTTATAGATGTCATACGAATTAACCTATAGCTGTGGGCTGAAGACAGATTCATACTTTACCCCAAGGGTATTTGCACATAAGTGAATATAGTGACCCCTACCCAACTGGAAGTTGGTTCTCCAATTTTCAATTCTGAGCCGTTGTTATCCATTACATCACCCACACATCCAAGCATACAGCACCTGGTATTCCCAAGTGGTCACCCATTTCGGTACCGACCAGGCTCAACGTTGCATAACATTGGTGATCATATGAAAACCAGTGTTTCAGCATGATATGGTCATAAGTCAAAAAAAGCATCAAAGTCAGAAGAGTTTTTTTTTACAATTGTTGAACACTAATTAGAAATGATCTTTAATTACAAAATTGAATTCATTTGATCATTAATGATTCCGTAATGTGATTGTTGTACAGACTAATAAGAACACGAGATTGTGTCTTTCACGTGTTAAATTAATGATTATTCAACTTTAGATACTGTCAATATTGGTGAATAGGTGTGTGACTCTGGAGATTTTTTCCAAACATGGATTATTATTCTTCTTGCAAGGACCCTCTCCCCTCTTGGGTGGCTTCTCCTGTCATTGGCTGTCCCATATGCACACCTAAAGCACAGCTGGGTCAACCAACTGTTTACATTTTGGGGGCAGCCACTGATATCTAGTGAGAGACAGATCTGCACCTGGTGTGTAGGTCATCTTGCAGGCCAATCCCCTGATGCATCTGGTTTAGCAATCAGTGCAAAGTCTATTCTGGTGTCAACTAAGGTGAGTTACATATCAAAATGGAAGTATATTGGTAATTAAGCACAAAATGCTTGACTCAAAAAAAAAAAAAAAAAAAAAAAAAAACCTGCATTTTTGCAGTCTTTATAATTTCTAGATATTTACGCTAACTTTTGAATTAATTTCATAGTAAAACATTGTAAAATATTAAGATGAAAAAGTCAGGGTCTAAAGGTTTTAGTTGAAGAAAAGTTTGGAAAATGTGATAATTCTAAATGAATTCATATGAAAACTGCAATGTACACCTACCAATGACGTGATGTGTCCATGGGGAACTGAGTCCTCGGGGTCTTCCTCCCTGTAAATAGAAGAACCTCTGTCACTGGAAGTATAAAACGAAATATGTCATTGGATAAGAAGGACAACACAGTTGAAGATGAACGTCTGGCTAGTATCATTACTTAGGCACTGAGTAACTCACGTGTTGTTAGAAAACTACCCAAAATACGTTTTGCTTATTGTAAACATCTGAATAAAACTGGTAAAAAGAAAAGAAAAGAAAAAAAAAAAGATAAAAATTCAAATAGAATGACCAGGTGCAAAATGATATTCAAAATAATTAATTAAAATTAAAAAATACACTCTTAAGTAGGTGCTGGAGGGGGTCGTCAGCAGTGTAATTTGACTTGGTTTATCAGGGAGTTTCTGGTCTTTCAACATCATACTCCCCATCAGGGGACATCAATCCCTGATCCCCAACTCACAATCAAATGCTAACAGCTACTTTGGCCTTTTTAACGAATTAGACGAAAAAAGATCACGTTTTCCGCACACTCGATTGGATGCTTGTAACAACCAATCTGTTGCGCGAACTATCTTTTAAATCAATCGAAACATCTAGAAAATTCCACAATTTTGAAGAAGTTAAAAAAAATATTAAGTTTTGAAAATTTGAATATCCGAGTTAGAATATTCTAAGTCAGTGAAATATTTTATCTATACTATTTATATCCGGACTATTGTCCTCGTCCTTATCAATAAAGTTGAGGACAATAGTCTGAATATAAATAGTTATCACCAAAAATACCCTGTACATTATCCAGATCTATATAGACCTGATGATGACTGCAGGGCACAATGGCCGAAACGTTGTGATAACAACAACAAAGATGAAGACAATAGTTTGAATATAGCGTAAATAACGATAACTCCTCATCCCAGAAATTAATCTTTTTCTATTTTGAACCGGTTGCTGCTTCTTAATATAAAAAATATGTATATATATATATATATATATATATATATATATATATATATATATATATATATATATATATATATATAATATATTTTTCTTATAAAAAAGTAACGATATCAGTGCGTATATTTTTATGTTGATTAAATGGGCTTATGGCAACATCACATTAAAACACGTTTCCATATGATCACCGAAGTTAAGCAACCTAGATGGGTGACGGCTTGAGAATACTAGGTGCTATAAGCTTGGATGTGTGGGTGGTGTAATGGATAATGGCTCAAAACTTTTAATCAGAGATTCAAGTCCCTATTCCCTTTGTGTTTGTTATATTCACTTATGTACAAATACTCTTGGGAAAGATATGAATCAACCTCTTCTCTCCCCATATCTATGGGTTAAGTAGCAAGACTTGTATCACTAAACCATTATTATCTTAAAAAAAAAAAAAAAAAAAAAAAAATGAAGAATTTTTATAATCGAAAAATACTTTCTGGCTTTAAATAACCTTGCAAAAGGTTGATGATCTGTAGAAAAATCAACTAACCAATATATTGATTAAATGATAAAAAAGTAAAAATCTTAAATCAAAACTGACATTGAATTTTATATCATGTCCATTTTAAATACTTTATGGTTGGTGCTGTTTTGTTTTTATTAGTGTTAAAATTGAGTAAATAATATCCAATTGCCAGTTGATAGTTTCTGATGGAAACATTTTAAAATATACTATTAACTAGTTTTAAAGATAACATTTTTTGTTTTTGTCAGCAAATATCAAAACACAATTTGTGAAACAGCAATCTAAAAATAGAACAACTGAAAAGACAAATAAAATAAAATATAAATGTTACATTTCAAATCCTATTATTACAATTTTAAGATGATGCCCTTGTGCTGACCTATATCGCACATACATACATACATACACAAATACAAATCACATACGACGACAAGCATTCATTGGTTAATAAGTCACCCCTACATTATTATAGACAATTTACAAATCGCAGCAATGCAACAATTTTGTAATCGCTCTATTTTCCCGTAGTCAATTTTGTGCACTTTTGGGAGAAATGGATTCCAGAAGCTTTCTTGCGTCTCCCCAAAACTCACTTGCTGATTGGTCAATGCCAACCAATCAAATTGTCTGCATGTGAAGAATAACTCTTCCTGTGCAGTGATTCAGAGCCTATGGTCACCTATATAAGCAAGAAATATTCTTAGATAATTAGTGAGATTTCAGCTGCCAAACGAATCCACGACAGTTGAAACCATGCGCCAATCTTCTCACTCACATCACCACTCACATGCTGAACATTCCTTACACTCACATAATATTTTCTTACACAGCAAAACTGTTGAGAACATTTATTACAAGAAACTATCACAAACTTTCTTTCAGTGAACTTTGGAATACAAAATAATAGTTAAAGAGAGACAACTCTTGTTTTATTCAACCTTTTTTTCCCAATTCAATACATGCCTTCTTTCACATCCTTGTGCATCTTGTTAAATACATATTTTATGTGTAATAATGTCTTTTGCTTATCTTTTCCATGTCAGTTTTGTTTCCTGATCTAAAGTTAAATTAATGTGGTGAAGTTTGCCACACCCTAACCTACTCCATTGCTTAACAAAGGAATTAAATTATACTTTAGTTATTTCAAACTATTGTTCTCATGTTAATTATTATATATGCTATTACAGGCACAACATTTCGGCCCAATACCCTGTGGCCAATATCAAGCGTTCATTGTTTGGCAGATAAAGGATAGGTTATTGCTTGTTCCTGCTGAATCAGTGCTTCAGTACCTGATTTAGGGTTTGTAGTCATGACCACTAGATGACAGTAAAACAGGATTAACCAACTCCTATATCCACTATTACACCATCCTGCAATGGTGCTTTTTGGAGCTTTTACATTCAATATAAGAGAATTTCAACATTAGGTCATCATGACAAATTAAAAATATAAAAAATGACATGATACTATATAGATAACCAAACATAGCTATACCTCAATATGAAAATGAAGTAACCCTTATAATTTATTTAGCATCAATAGCATTGTTCTATAACAACATCAATAATATTGGTTATGATGACAATTTAAATTTCTGGTCCTGTTGGCTATAACAACATCAATCATGTTGATTTTGATGGTGATCACAAGCACTTCTAGTCCCACTATAGAATGATGGGAGCAAACAGAAGTTTTTGAATAAAATAGTTGCTGAGTTTAGCATATCACACGTCATCTTTGTGTTACCTCAGCTTTTCAGTAGCCAGTTTCGTATAATTTATCTGTTCACCCTAAGCCCAGTGGAACAAGCATATTAATAGGATTATAATCCTATTATAAAATTTTTTTAAAGAAATTTAGCATATATATCATATAGATCTACCTTTCACCACTTCATCAAATTATGGACACAGTGATTAAAAATAAGTGATGCTTTGTAAATATGTTAAAAAGTCCAACTCTTAAATTCAGCTTGTAAACTCTCTAAACTCATGACAGTCAGCCAAAAACATACATGGTCTCCAAATGCCATTCAAGGGAGGTAATTATTGTTACTTTTTTTTTAATGTGTCATATATTATTATTATGACTCTTCACAAATTTATCTTCTTTAAGATCTTTGAATTGCCATCATTCCTTAGGGAAAAAGGGAAAAAAAAAAAAAAAAAAAAAAGAGGAGTGGTTTCCTATTGTTTCATCTACGATTCTGAATTGCTTCCAGACTGGCTGCCACTCAAGGTTAAAGTACCAAGTCTACCTTGCTATTTAATTCATATCCGGAGCGAGAAGTGTCTTCATACTTTTCCCAAAGGTATGAGTACAAAAGTGAACACAAGATACTAGGATGAATTTAAAATCAGCTTAGTGATTCCATTCACAGGGAAACAATAATCATGCTACATAAACAACTATTGTTATACATTGATTAAAAAAGAAAAATCTATGTGAAGGTAGATACACTTAAAAGTTATTATTTCTTATATATTTTTTTGTCATTGTAAAACTCAGACTATTATTGTCATTAGTAATTGTGAGTTCAACCTCTGGGCCTGGCAGTGTGTACTTGGACTCCGTGGAAACAGGGCAAAGCAATAAGTGAGCAGTACTAAAAATAAGAACTAGATGAGATATCCCTAGACATGGGCAATGGAACAAGAACAGTCTAACTAGATTAAATAATGGGTTCAGTTTGGAATTCCCTGCAAGTTACCTGCATTGATATACACCTGATGAAGGCACAACAGATGAAACGTAATAACAACAAATATAGGGACTATAGTCTGTGTGTAAACAGTGTAAATATTTTCATATTCTTTGACCTGAACTTATGATAAACAGCTACAGAAATAAAATGAAAGAAAACTGTTATATACCGTGCCTATGAACACTAATGGGCATGTCACAATTCTCAATATGATGGACACTGTTGTTAGTGGGGGGTAATATGTCGCCTAAGTAGTTCACTCCTAGAAATGATTTACCTGCTTCATGCTGTTGGCAAGTATTGTATTTTATTGACCTTATAAAGATTACCATTTCCATTACCAACCTTTGTTTTGGTTATTCATTATTCAGTAACCTTTTCTCGGTTAAATAAGAACAAATACAGAATTAATAACTGACAATGCTTCATCTAAAAAAAAAAAAAAAAAAAAAAAAAAAAAAGAAGGAATTTGTTATGATTTGCAATGCAAAAAAGAAAAAAAAAAGGAGAATACTTTTAAGACCGATACCTACTCATTCTATTCCGGGATAAAGTTATTAAGTGACTGCCAGCTCATTCCCCATATATTTGTGTGTTATTGTTATACATCATACTTACAAACACTAATGGGTATGTTCCAATCCTCAAAAATACATTGGATACTATTGTGAGTGGGGGTAATATGCTATCTAAGTAGTTCACCACTAGCAGTGGTTTACCTACTTAACGCCACTGGCGAGTATTTTATTTTGTTGACATTATAAAGATTACCATTTCTATTACCAACCTTCATTTTGGTTATTCATTATTCAGTAACCTTTTCTCGGTTAAATAAAAACAAATACAGAATTAATAACTGACAATGCTTCATAGAAGAAAGAAAGAAAAAAAAGAAAGGAAGAAGAAGAAGAACAACAACAACAACTCTGCCCTTTTAAGACCGATACCTTCTCATTCTATTCTGGGATTAAGTCATTAAGTGACTGCCAGCTCATTCCCCATATATTTGTGTGTTATTGTTATATACCATACTTACAAACACTAATGGGTATGTTCCAATCCTCAAAAATACATTGGATACTATTGTAAGTGGGGGTAATATACTAAGTAGTCCACCACTAGCAGTGGTTTACCTACTTAACACCACTGGCAAGTATTGTATTTTGTTGACATTATAAAGATTACCATTTCATTCCCAACCTCCATTTTGGTCATTCCTCATTCAGTAACCTTTTCTAGGTTACAAAAAACTAACAAGGAATTAATAACTGCCAATGCTTCATCTAAAAAAAATGATTTAATATGATTTGCAATGCAAAAAAAAAAAAAAAAAATAGAATACTGACTCTGCCCTTTTAAGACTGATACCTGCTCATTCTATTCTGCAAGTAAATGAGCAATGTTCAAATATGGACTATGGGGAGAAAAAAAAAATTAACATCAGTGTTTCTTTTTTGTTTTTTTTTTTAAAAGAGTTCTTATCAAGTGATTCTAATAACTGATACCGGGTCATTCTATTTTGGCATCTAATGCAATATTCAGACATAAATATGCATAAATAAAAATCACAAAATAACATAAAAAAAGCACTTATCATGCAACCAACATTGAAAATAATAACATTTATTTCCGATTCAACAAACGTGTACAGGGAACTTCATTTACTAAAATCAGCCATGATGAAAATGTACTGATGAATTCTTCAATTATATTTTAGCCAATCATGACATATTTAAGTCAGATGTATATATATCTTGTATGAAGAACTTTTCTGTGTTACTATATCTCTTGAGCTAAGAACAAAGAAAAAACTCATTTATCAAGTCAAAAAGACCTTCCGTCTTTAGCTCAGTTAAATAAATGTTGTGAGAGGCTGGCATTAAAGTCAACAAATGCTGACTTTAATGTCAGTAATAAATTTACTGGGATTTAGAGTTTATATGTGCTTCAAGATAACAAAAAGGTATTGGAATCATTTATAAATCCTTGATTGAAAAAAAAAAAAAAATGGAATTTTATTTTAATTTTGCATGAAGCTAAAACAAATTTTTACTTCCCTCTTCATCTTTTTTTAGGTTGGAACTTTATAAAAATCTTTAAAATTTGAATTCATTTGTTTGGCAAATTTTTTCAATAAGTTCAGCATATGAATATCTTTCAATAGGGAAATTAAAACTAAAATTCTAGATGACAAAATATGCAATGTAAAAAAAAAAAAAACATAAGAAAAGTCTCTACAAAAAAAAATTACTTTGTGGTTTGGCCATTATATAAATGTTAAAATATTTTAAACAAAAATGATTTTAATTGCATGCATAACCCAATAATGTTTATACAGGGTATGGCAGACATCGCATTGGTATCCGTCCGTCTCAAGAGACGATGGAGTAGCGCAGTGTGCTACGAGCCCGGGCGGGATATATGGAGAACTAGGGCTGACCAGAGACATCTAGTTCCCCCTCTCAGCCTTGCAAGCAGAGTCCAACGGAGAGGATAAACCAATATAGTTTGGTACCAACATGGCTGCAGGATTTGCCAGAAGGTAGCACAAAGTGCTATCCATCTGCCTTAGGTGCTCCACTCCGGGTTTGAATTCAGAGTTGTCCTTCTCCTAGACCAGTTGCCATCCAAGGCTATAGAACCCAGTCTGCCCTGCTATTTACCCATAGCTGGAGGGAGAAGAAGAGGATTCACATCTTTCCCAAGGGGATTAGCATGTAAGTGAATGTAATGGATTCGAGTGGAATTTGAACTCAGCTCTCCAATTCCTCAATCCATTACTCTCCATGGCAGACATACTTCTCACATAATGGTAACACATTAGCTAGATGAAGACAACATTGCCGTTAATGTCTTACCATTTTGTGAGAATTATTTCTGCCACACGGTAGAATCTATTCAATAATATTCCACAAAATGTTACTACGTATTTATCTATTTATCATACAGCTGTTCTCCCCTTCTTTGTGTGATCAAACTGTTAATACGTTGCTTTTTATTTTTTGTTAGTTTTCTTTAGATATTTTTTTTTTACATTTAGTGATTTAAAAAGCAGAATTCTTTCTTACATGCAACAATAGGTATACAAAAGAAAATCCTATATTATTCATGCAGAAAAGCATTAGCAAAATTACTTTTTTCTTCATAGTTCAGGTAAACTAGTACAAATAGAAAAGCTTTTTCACTAGTGTTGACCTATTTCGATTGATTTGCATCAGTAAGTAATTTTCTACTGAGGGTCAATATCTTCCCTGCCTAATATTTACATTAAAACATGGACATATTTTTCTGATTAAGCAAATGTTCATCACTGCTGCAAAACATGTTACTTATTAGCAAGGGATCAACTATGCTACAATAAGCAACTTTACGAACAAAAAGAAGCCAATAAAAAGCAAACAAAACAACCTTTTTACTCAGTTTTATTCAGGTTGGAAATTTGAAAAAAAAAAATAAATTGTAAAATGATCTGGGTATATATATATCTTATATAAGCCAGTTTTCAAACTGTGTTGTAGAGAAAACTCAATCAGATTAATAGAAAGAAGATGGAGGAAAAAACTTAAAAAATACAATACTTACATCTTGGCTAAAACATAGCCAACAATTTTTCCATTTTCATCTTCAGCAACATATGATAACTAACAAAGAAAAAAAAAAATAAAAAGCTTTAGATGTATTTTTACAGATCAAGAAAAATTTTGTTATACAACTTATGAAAAAAAAAACCTTTATAAAAAAAAAGTTGTATCCAAGGTACAAATTTGTTTAAAAGCATTTTATCATTCTTATCAGAAAGGGATGTCATAAAGCAAGACCAGATTATATATCATTGATGTATAAACCCCTATGTTTCATGAAATTACAGAGCAAAATGGTTTCCTTAAAGAAAGAAAAAGAATTGGTAGGAAATGAGATTCTTTATTTTTTTTAGGAGTGATTTCAGATGTGTGGAATATTTTGTTGGGTTATGAGAAACATCATATAACTTGAAAAATGAAGATCCTGATTAACCTATTCAAGTTTCTTAGATTTCTGGGTAGCATCTTGTCTCTGTAAATACACACACACACACACACAAAATATATATACTCGCATATAAACATGCATGCAAATGCACACACATGTGCATAAATGTACATACACACACACACACACATAAATGAACACAAATATAAACACACACACACATAATATATAAATGAACACAAATATACACACATAAATGAACACAATTACAAACACTCATATATAAATACTAATAAAATTAAAAAAGTACAAGTAATGAGATTCAAAATTTAGTAGCTCTAGTGTTTCAAAAGTAGTCCAATCTGCCAACCTGTGTGTGTGTGCGTGTATTCTTGCTTTATGAAACTATATTTTAACAATATATTTGTGATTCTTTTTCCAAAGATACTCATGGAAAAATGAGGAGAGTTCAAAGAGAGTGACAAAGACAAATGTCACAAGTAACTGAAAAATAAATAAAGATGAAAATAAATAAATAAAGATGAAATTCTGCTTGAGGAAAACCCAAGAAATGTAAGAAAATATTATCTTAACTTTTAGACAGCATTCTTCTTCAGGAATAAAGGATGGTTTAATTTTACTTCATCTGGCACAAGGCCAACATTGTTTACAATACACAATATTCCTATGTAACCTCGATGCTGTTCAACTCTGGTGACCAGACTAGTGTTTTTGGTTTGAAATGAACAGAAACCTAAATCTATTCTAGTTCTCATCATAGTGGATGTTCTTAAAACATGCATTAGTTTGGCCACAAGGATTTTCAGACAAGTTTACATATAGAAAAGGCAATCACTTTGTGAACAGACTATATAAATTATACAAAATACAAGGGAGATAATAATTGTAAAAATTGTAATATGATAAATTAAAAGAATATGCCACTCACCTGAGGCCATGAAAGGCCATGATAGAAATAATATTTCATTTGGTAATTTTCAGGTAAACACAGCAAATTGCAGTGTTGCATGTTCATCAAATCTTCAGGCTAAACAACAGAAAAACAAAAATAGATATGGAATTTGTTTTAACATAAAATCCTAAATTGGCAGAATTTTTCATATAACAGACAATTATACTGGGACATTAACAGCTCACCCCTTTTATTATGCTGTACTGAAATTGTTTTTATATTACATGACAAAATCCTCTTAATAGGGGAACACCTATTCACATGGTAGAAAGCTAAAAGGTTATTCTTGGTCTAACCATCTTCTATAAAACATAGCATCCATGAATGAGAAAAATGAAAAGGAAAGGACAATTGAAGTACTGAGGAAGAAATTACTAAAAAAATTGTTAAAAAAAGATAATTATATATATATATATATATATATATATATATATATATATATATGCATGTATATTTTCAGATATTTTAATTTTATATGTTATTTATATAGCCACAAATATTTAAGTAAGTTTTCTGTTTATAATAAACAGTATTAACAACATTTACTGGCCTGAACGTCTGAGAAATTTTCATAGAAAATATGCGTCCTCTGACAGGAATCGAACCTGTATCCTACATGGAACCATCATATAGCCTGACATACTATACCAGTTTAGCGTCTGGTTAGCAAGGTTGATTTTACTGCTATATGATGGTTCCATGTAGGATACAGGTTTGATTTTTATCAGAAGTTACATAGTTACTATGAAAATTTCTCAAACGTTCAGGCCAGTAAATGTTAATACTGTTTATTATAAACAGAGCATTTACTTAAATATTTGTGTCTATAAAAATAATGTAAAACAATATCTTAAAATAATTGTCAGACTATATATATATATATATATATATATATATATATATATATATATATTATATATATATATATATATAGTACATATGTAATTACATATGTACATACATACACACAAATATTTTTATGTATGCATACTATTGTATGTATTCACTCACTAGAAAAATATTCACTAAGTTATTCTTAAATTGCACCCCCGACTAATCAAACTGCCCTACATTGAGAACCACAATTCTATACAAAATAATTTGACTATGCAATTAAACTGAACCTCACATATAGACTATATATCAACCTCACATATAGACTATATATCAACCTCACATATAGACTACATAAAAAACTAGTCTTGAGTGGTGCAATTTGTATTAGTAGGGGAATAGAAAAAAATGTTTTTTCCAAAGATTTTTGTTTGGGAAAGAAATGGAATTCACAAATTTTGGTAAAATTTTTATTTTAGGAGACCTGAATTAACTATTAACAGCAATCTTCCCAAATAAGTAAATCTGGAAGTATACAAGGAAAAGAAAAACAAAAAAAAAACGTCAATCAAATTTCAGTAGTGATTATGGTTTCTTGAGAGAGGGGGGAGGGGGAGGTAGACAAACACATTCCGCAAGACTTATTTCAGTAAAACTCAAGTCAGTCTGTTATGTAATTACTTGACATTCTTGTGTATTTAAAGTTCTGATGATGCAAAAAAATTGTGCTTCTTTAAGAAAGATTTTTTTTCTTCTCTCCTACCATTTTGTTGTGCAGAACAAAAGATTCTAGGAGTAAAAATGAATACATAATTGATGGGATATTTTTATGAAAATGACAAAAATAATGTCTTTAAAGAAAAAAAAAAAAATGTAAATATGCTGTTGGTGACAAAAGAATATAGAGTATTATCCTAATTCCTAAAATTTAGTTTTACTGCCCTGAAGAGACAAACTTCTATTGTTTGACTTAATCTATTCTAAAATAAAAATTGTTATATTTAACAAAAATTGTTATATTTAAATATCAACAGCAGGAGCTGAAACTGATTGATACAGTCACCCAATCATCACCAGACAAATTAAGCATTCTTATTACATTATATAGCTTAAAATTGTTATCTTCATTTCCAAGTAAATACATAAGTAGAACAAAAAAACTGTTACAGCAAAGAAATTGCTTAATGTTTTTACTTTGAGCAGCTTTATTTCCAACTTGATATTGTGTGCTTGTATGTCTATTATTTACTTTTGTGTTGATATATAAATTCATAATACACACACTCATGCTATACCAGTTTAGCAGAGTTTTGTTCCCAAGATGTCATAACGTGATTTTCTGTGTAAGTTGGAATGTATCTGTGATTCTCTGTTAATAAGCACTTACGTCACTCACCTATGCTAATGCAATAGTAAAGTAATAACTTAGAACATATCATATGTGAACATAATTTGGACTAAGAGAAAAAAAAAGGGGGGGATATAAATATAATACCCGTTGTAACCTAGGGAAGGTTACTGAATAATCAAACGAAGGTTGGTAATGAACGATAATACTTAGGACAAGAACAACACATATAAGATTTGCCAGTGGCATATAGAAGGAATAGTTAACTGCTAGAATTGAGTCAAGTGAATTCCACAATGAATCTCCAACTGCAGACCAACAAACAGTATTTACTACTGTATTTATGTGAATGGGGAGATATCTATTATCATTGACAGGTATGCTACAATACCTATAATAAAACTCAATATGTATATGTACATGTTTTAAGCGACAATTGAACGACTTAAGCCAAGCAACTAGCCAATGTTTACTGTTGTTTCTCCCTGTATCAGAGTGCTTAACAATGTCTAATTTCATTTCCATCATGATGGCTTTCTTTTTCTTTTAAGCAATGCCATCAGAAGAGGGTACACTATGCTTAGAAGCCATAATGAAAGGTAATAAGTTTCAACAAACATAACACAAATGAAAGAGAACAAATACACAACAATCCATTATGGCATACAACCAGGGACTGATCCACACTGCTTTCCTCACCGAATGATGATGTATTCTTCTGACACATTGTATGTACAAGGCAAATGGCATGTCGAAAAAAGATTAATAAACATTGTGTTGTAATGATGAATCGTCATATTTCAGGACTGTTATAACCTCAGGATTACAGTATAGTGATTTTTCTACATAAAGTAACAGAAATCATCTGTCTTTCCTCATTATGTGCTCTAGAGGGCCTGGAGAATTTGATGCTTACAGGGACATATTGAGGGCAAGGAGAGAGGAAAGCAGTGCATAACCCGTCTAACAAGCTTGAGGAAATCTTTGGCAGAACAGGGATTAGGAAAGATAGAATAAAGACAAGCTTTACTGAGGGCTACAAAGGACAACAAGTTGTGAAGTGCTATGATTGCCCATATCCAGAAAGGACATAGAAGACAAAGAACAGAAATCATAGATGATAAATATTTTAACTACAAGGGAAGGGGAAATAGGATTTAAAAAAGAATCAAATGATGCATTGGTCATAAAATAAATTCAAATTGTTACCAAAATATTTTTATTAGCTAGGGTGCATGTTACACATGTTTATCTTTTGCACATTGTATTATTATATTTTTTTTTATAACAAAAATGTAACAATTATCTTGAACTTTATTTTTCTTATTAAATATAATTCTTACTAATTTTTATTTCTGTATATACATACATGTTACAAAATAAAATCCTTGCATTTACCTTGATAAAGTCTATCAGAGGATGAAACACATAGGAAAAGAAGTTTCCCTTTTGTCTTTATTCGTGTGGTCTTTTTACACATAACTAATTCTCTTTTCACAGTGGAGTAATGGATAGTGTCTCGGATGGAGGAATCGGAGAGCAGAGTTTGAATTCCAGTCAAATCCATTATATTCACTTACATGCTAATACCCTTGGGAAAGGTATGAATCCTCTTCTCCCCTCAGCTATGGGTAAATAGCAGGACAGACAAGGCACGGTGGAATAATGGATACCCATTACATTCACTTACGTGCTAATACCTTTGGGAAAGGTATGAATCCTCTTCTCTCCCCAGCTATGGATAAATAGCAGAACAGACTGGGTTCTATAGCCTTGGATGGCAACTATAAATATATTTATTGATTTTGGTTTTGTTTAATTTTCAATCTGGTTATATACACATCTATCGCACTGCTTTGCTTCTCACTGGCTTGCGGCTTTATACCCTGGTTGTGAAAGCTTTCTGGTTGGCTTTGTGGTTTGGTGATTTTAAATATGCATTTATTTTAGAGATGGTGAAATTTTGGACATATTATTATTTTTTTTTTTGAATTTCTTTTATATCCTGGTTATAAAAGTGTTGTAACCTAGGAAGTGTTACTGAATGAGGAATAACCAAAATGGAGGTTGGAAATGAAATGGTAATCTTTATAACATCAATAAAATACAATACTTGCCAGTGGTGTGAAGTAGGTAAACCACTGCTAGTGGTGGACTACTTACACAGCATATAACCCCCACTTACAATAGTGTCCAATGTATTTAAGAGGATTGGGACATACCCGTTCATAACAAAAAGCTTTTTGATTAGTTGGTTGTAATATGGCTCTGTGGCCCAGCAATTCTGATTATCCACCTATTTTTAGAGATGGCAAAATTTTTGTTGTCTTCTCTATCACTACAGCTTTTATATAACTTGTCCCTTCATGACTCGACAGTTTCCTGTCTTTTACTATTCCGTTTTTGTTTTTATGATACGTGTTCCTGCATCTATTTGCTCACACTTGTCAAGTAGGTTACTTGCTGTTATCCTCTGCTTCTCTTGACTTTGATGTGTCCTGTGAGGGTTAAATTTCCTGAACTATCTTTCTTCATTATATATCCAAAAATTTTCAGCTATCTCTTTCTGATTGTTAGCAACAACCACTTTTGTAGTTTCTATTCTCATTTGTCATATGCTCTAAGATATTCCCAACATTTCTTGATAGAATCACATTTCAATTACTTCATATCTTTTCAATTATGATAGAATTGTCAATATTTACTGCCATATAAGAGGGTAGATGTTACATAGTAGTTGATTACTCAATCTTTTCTTTATTTCTAATGTTCAACTTTAATCTTCAAAAATTTATATGCAATGTCAATTGCTATCTACTGCCCTCCTGATTAATCTTTAGTATTTTTGTTCTCGCTCATTAGTAATGTTTTTATTGCTAACTAGCAGTAAAGCCCAGCATTGCTTGGGGTTTTATGTAGTTAAATTGCTTTGCGGTTTGAATTATTGAACTTACGCACATATCCGCAGTTGTAGAGGTCACTGATAGGCCGGGAATCTCGCTGGTAGCAAAATCAATGAGATCAGTTTTATCAATTTTTTCCAAAATCGGAGGAACAATCGAAAAATCCGAAGATGTCAAATACGAATGCCATAAATTTCCGATCTGTGTGTGAATTTTCATGCCAATTGGACGAACGGTTTGCTTAGAATGACGTAACAAGGTGACACACAGGCACACTAACAGAATGCCATTTATAGATACAGATTTTTCCATATCCAGTAATCCCCTATATCTTAGTGGTGTTACTGTCTTGCTTGGGTTGAACTTGATTAAAAAAAAAAAAAAAAATATCTTCCAATCCCTTAATATCTTGTTCAGTTTCTGAATGTATCTGTTGCCATTTGTATATGTTTTCAAATTTATGTCACATTGATATTACACTGCCAAATAGTTACATTTCTATACTGGATTAATCTTGATGTTCCTGATGTCCAACTCACATTTTGGGCTGTATGTTTTGCTCAACATCATGTAACCTGTCTTCTTACAATTAATGTTTGGTCCTTTCTTCTTGCTTTCCAGAACTAATAATATTTTTCGTTCAGAATCTACCATCAACAGTGTCATCTATATAATTGAATGTTGTTAAAGTTATATTTGCTGATAATAAATCCTGCCCTTCTTTTGTGTGCTGTGTTCCTTCAGGACATGGGCGATCATGACTCTCCATAACTTCCTATCCCTTTTGGTCTTTTTACTATTCCCTGATGGAGTTAGGAAAAAAGGTAATTAAATAAAGGAGGCACAGTTGAGTAATGGATAGTGGCTCAGATTGAGGAATCGGAGAGCAGAGTTCGAGTTTCAGTCAAATTCATTACATTCACTTATGTGTTAATACTCTTCTTGGGAAAGGGTATAAATCTTCTTCTCTCCCCAGCTATGGGTAAAGGAGGAGAGACAGGGTTCTAGAGATTTGGATGGCAACTAGTCTACCGCAGAAAGAAATGGCAACCTACTGCGGGAAAAAAATCTGCCTCGTTAGTCAGGTATCGAAAGATACATGATCGCCTAAGCGTGTATCACGCATGGCACATAACTGACTGAATTAAATAAAATTAACCCAAAATAATTAGTAAAAATAATTTATATAATCATTCAATCACAACTATGATCTTCAAAGAAATTACCGAATTGACACTTAGAGAATCACGATTGATTGAATATTGAAATAAAATAATAATCGTTATCAGTAATGTAATTTTATTAATTGGATCATAACTAGAGACCAAATACGCTGAAGAAAGTGAAACATTTGCATTATTGTGCTGTTTTCGGTAATAAGGAGGATAACAAACAGGTTCTACTTACATCTCTAAGGAAAGGAGTATTATTTTTATATTATTCGCAGATCTCGTCGTCCTTTTGCTAATTTAAATGAACTACCAAGAATAATTGCACGATGACTCGCATGCTACGGATAATTATTTATCTACTTAGGTAGCTAATTACCATTTTAAGGTGGCAATCGCAAAAAATACCATCTTGCTTGAGGTTACACATAAACAAAAAAAAAACAAATATATATCCATTGTGCGAAAAGGTAAATTTAAAAATAAAACAAAAATGACAAACAATTTTCTAAAAAACCGAATTTAGTCTTAGTGCAATAATTTTACCTTTGAAGTTGTTTATTATTTTTAAAAAATGTTATATTTATTGTAAAAGCACGCACAATGACAAAAACACCGACATGAGAGTATTTTTAAGTTACTAAATAAATTTTTAATTTTGTTTGATAACATTTCAATTCCAAATCTTTGGAGGAAAAAAAAGAAAACATCAAAAAACACGTGCGCCTCTTTAAAGCTTATTATTTTCCTATTGGCCGAATAAAACGACAGTAAAAACAATATAAATAAAAGTAATTTACTTTTATTTTAATAAATAAAAGAGAATTCATTAGAATTATAATAAATGAAATTTGACTAAAAAGTAAAACACATGCGTGTGTAAGAAAAGAAAAGTAAAAGAAAGATAAATGTATGTACAATTGTTTGAATCGGCTGGCAGAAGCTCAGGTGTAAATTATTCTGCACTAACATACTAAACAATAATAGATCGATATTCAAATTTAGACATAGGATTAAAGTTTGAATTATACAACGATCAATACTAAACTGGGATTTTGAAAATCGATTCAGTCAGAACATTTTTTTTTTACTATGAAAGTGTAAAAAAAAGAATAAAAAGATATAATAAATTACTAAGTTATAGTAAATACTCACTGTGGCGCACCGGATATTCATGATTTGATAGTAGTATTGAAAAAATAAATCAACTTTATGGCTTTAACACTTTGTCAGTAAAATATTTCGCCTAAATTATCGTTTGTTCGTTTCCCCTGGCAAAATTCAAGTTACGCCGTGCACGATGGTTTCTCACAGGAAACAGAATTCTCGGCAGCGAGTGCGCATGCGTTACTTTAAGCGGAAGTTCTTTTCTGACAACTTGTCGAAATATCTTCAAGTCGTGTTTTCAATTTTCACCATTCTTTATTGTAATTTTCTGTTTTTACCGAGGAAAAGAGTTACGTTTTGAGGGTAAAAAAAAACAATTTTATTATCATTAATGTCAGTAACCATTACTGCGATTCTTTTTCAGATTACTTTTTGAAGAGGATTTTTTATTAAATAGTTTCATTGATTCATAGAGTTAAAATTAAAAAAATGGAATTATTTTTTAAGTAATATTACTTTTAAAAACAATGTTCATACATCGAGAAAACAAAATAATCATAAATAATGTCGGGAATTATTTTGTAATATAATGAAATGTAAAAGAGATAAATTCATGGTGTTGTTTTTTTTTAAATTAATTTCTTTTTTATGAAAAAAATTGAAAACAAACTTTAACAAAGGAACTTTAATGAGAATTACAGTGAAACGTGGCTTTAATGGCTTTCAGTAGAGATGAACTTCTGATGATTTGGGACGTAAAATATTTCTTACAGATCTTTTATAAATTCGAGACATTTCCCACGAAGTAGTAATTTCGGGATATGAGGTGGCCTGTCATAATTTCTAAAAAGAAAAGGAAAGTTTTTAACAGAACTTAAAAGGGTAAGAGTAGAGACGATATAACATGGAAAAGAAATAGGACATAGTCTTGTACTCGTACGTAGAGATATTTAGCTTTAATTTAATAATTAAAAATTTGTGAGAGCTAAACGAAACCTGTCAGTGATCTTAGAGAACCATTTTAAAATAAGGAGAGGGAGATGCTGTACAAGTTCCTCTCATATTTTTTCTTCGCTCCTCAAAAAGTACTCCTCCTTAATAAATTGTTTTTTCCAACCTATGATTCATCATCATTTACGCATCCAGGACGTGGATGATCATAACTTTCTACAATTTCCAGTCTCTTAGTCTTTATATTTTTTTTTTCTATCTCTAAGTAACGTTTGACTTTTTACTATCCTTCCTTGTCGCTATACTCTGCCATTCATTCATAAAAACAAAAATCAAACACATTTTACTTGCTTGTTCCCCCTTTTTTCTTTTTTTACCCCTACTGTGCAGGTATCCCCAACCCAAAGATTCGCTAAAAATAAACATACATGATGAGACTTACTTAATCAAAATTAAGAGTAAAAAACGGGATTTTTTTATGTAAATTTTTTGAAAAAAAATTCCCCCACTTTTTTTTTTTTTTTGAGAACCTTCAAAATATTGGTTTAAAAATCTTGTTTCTAAAAGTCTTCTTGTTTGTTTGTTTGTTTTGTTTTTTTTTTAGAAAATCTTGGTTAAAAAATTCAAAATTGTTTTTTACTTTACATCTGATACCCCCCCCCCTTCCCACATATGCACGTACTAATTTAATTTTATAAAATTTTTGAGAAATTCTTGTAAGGTAAGGCCAAGTCATCGGAAAATATTTTTTAAAAATCATCATTTTTTGTTTTTGGTCAAACTACCTTCAGTTAATGTGCTCTGAATCGCTAAATAAAAAAATTAAAAAAACTAAGACATTATTTAGAAAAGTTAATAATTACTTTTAAAATATATAGGCACTAAAAATTTTGTTGAGATGAATAATGAATTTTTTTTTACAAACAAGAACTGTTTTCAATTTTCTTTTCACTGTCTTAAAATTTTTAATTTATAAACTTTTTAGTTTTAAATCTTTTAAAAATAAAATTCTGTATTAACTGGTCAAGTGATATATTTATTAAATAACAACTGTATTTACTAAGTTAGTCTAAATCAAATATAGAAAGGATTACTATTACAAATCATTGACCCCCACCAAGTTTTTTTTTTTTACTTTATAATTTAATTACAGACAGCCTACATCAGGCTACCAATTGCCATAAGCATTCTAGGCTTACGGTTATATCACAATGAATTTGAAACACCGATTCCCATATGATCACCAAAGTTAAGCAACATTGAGCCTGGTCAGTACCTAGATGGAATATCAGGTACTTTAACCTTGGATGTGCAGGTGGTTTAATGGATAACGGCTCAGAATTGGATGTCAATTTGACAGTGCAGAGGATTCGGAAAAAGTTGGATGATGAGTCTAATCCTGATTATGAACGTATGGAGCATTCGGAAAATTCACTCTGATCATTCTGATAAGAAAAAAACTCTAAGAATTTGTTGGTGAGGGACTCACTCAACACGGAAGCTTACAGTCAAGTGCTTTGGAGAGGTAGTGCTGTCCTGGGTCAAGAGGGTGGCTGCTGGAAGACCCTATGTCAGGCAACAGGACTCTGCACCATGCCACACAAGCAGGAGGACCCAGTCATGGTTGTGAGACAATTTCTGCGACTGCAACCACATCACCCTTTACATCTAGCCACCTAACTCTCCACACTGCACCCCTTTGATTATTATGTGTGGGATGAAGTTGAACAACAGACCAAGAAAACTCATTGTAATACCAAAAATGAACTGAAGGCAAGGATTATTCACCAACTTAAACAAGGAGACTGTCCAGAAGAGTGTTAGGAGAATCCAAAGTCGTCTGGAAGCCATGGTTGAAGCCAATGGTGATTTTATTGAATAAATTTACTCTTTAGTATTTCAAGATATTTTTGTGTCATTTTGGTAAATATATCTGTTAAAATAAGATGTCCGTGTTATTTTCATTTTTGCATAATTTAGATGTCAATTTATCCATCGTACTCTGTAAAAGTATTTTCTTGCTTTACATAACCTCCAAAAGGTTGTTAAGCCATAAAAAAACAATCATGCATTCAATCATAAGCATCCTAGATGGAAAACATTTATCCTCATAGTAACAAAATAAAGAACAATACAAAATATGTAAGCAAATAAACAATAGTTACCACTTGATGGAATAACTTTTTAAAATTTTTGTTTAAGGAAAAAATACTTCAGGGCTTTTAAAATACTTAGTACAGAGGAAATATTAATTTTGTTTCATGAACAATGTGTTTTAACAAAGTTATTCGTTTTGTGTATTAGTGAACCTAGATGAAATGGTTTAAGTTTTAAATAATAATATAATCAAAATCAAGTTATCTATGATTGTCCTTTTGAATTTCCATTGGGCAGTTGGGTAGTGACCATTTTAGTACTGGTGATAGAAACTTTTGGTATTTCTTCTTTTGTTTGCATATGTCAGCCCTGAAGTTGCCAAAAAATAAAAGAAAAATAACTTTATTATACAAGAAAGTGAAACCTCTAATAATAAAATTTGAGAACTGTGCTGGTTTGAAGTTTGGAAATTATAAGCTGAGATTGGTTGTACAAGGTTATTTCTTGTACCAGCAATAATGACTAATCCCTGACATGCTCTTTTGGGGAAGGATAGAGTCGTGCCTTTTTCAAGTGTATGAGTCTGAAATGAATGCAAACTATCCAAATTGTAATTTAAACTTGGTTTGCTGATTCCATTTTCAACAGCCTAGTAAATTAAAGCATTGGTTTGTGAATTTGGTGGTGTTGTAATTGTGAGTTCAATCCCTGCAATGGGTAGTACAGACTTCGAGTCAGTGGGAACAGGGCAGTGCTAAATAAGAATAAGATCATGGACATCAGAATTAGAATGAGCTACACCCATAGATTAAATTAAAAAGTGCAGTTCAAAATTCCTTGATGTTTACTCAGATTGACAGATGCTTGAAGAAGGCCGAAGGTTTTTGAATTTATTTAAAGTGAAAGCAATTAGTTGAAAATTATCTTTTTTGTGTTGTTTTCTATTGCATAGGCAAATTTAAAATTTTATTTTAGACTGTTTTTGCCTGACACTTACTGCTTACGTTGATTTTTTTTTTTCTTTTTTGCGTGGTTTTGTGACTTTTTGACATGTCTATGAGATTTTTACACACTATTTGAATTATTAATGATTCCATCTTTAATGTTACTTTCCATTTGCAATGAAACCAGTGGCAACCAGCAGGCCATATAAGCCCTCATAAAAAACATGACAGTAAAATGGTATGGCTGCTTGGAGTACCAGTTGTACTCTGTCTTCTTTTCAATCACAATTAATGAGACTACTGAAAAACTCCTTGCACAAAGCACGATCATTCGACTTGTCAGTGTCTGCTGCCCGTCTAATGTGCACTCACTCACGCTCATTTTATTGAGTGGCTGAGGCTTGTAAATTTGCATAAACCACAAATTCATCTCACAAAATCTCTGAGATTAAGTTGTTCTTAAATTGCAGCTTTTAGATTGTCTATATTTTCTTTTATGTGTTTTGTATTTGAGATACGTACAAGTGTGGTTTGTTCCAGGAGGTTAGCCATTTTCCCTCCTACATTATATCTGTTGTAATAAAAAATAGGACAAATAAATTAATGTTTCATTAAGTACTTTTGCGAAATCCATTCAGAGATTCAAATGGGATTGTAAAGTTCATCATGATGGTAATAATTTTCAAATAAGGTATTATAAACACCTTAAATATATGAATAAATATATAGTTTAAATCCATCAGCTTTCATTGAAGTCAAAGGCTCTATTTAAGCCTTTTATGGAAATTATAATCTTGCCTGTAAGACATATTTTCAGCTAATTTTGTTAAATATTGATGGATTAGAAAAGTAGACAGTAACATTATATAACAGTTATCAAAGAATTATTGTGGCATTTTTAATGGCTAAAAAACATTGAAATGTTTCATTGGATCTTGTTTATGTTGCAAATTTATATTATACGTGTATATTTTTTAATAATCAATTCACCCCAAGCAAGATGATAATGCCACTAAGACACAACGGGCTACTGGGAATGAAAGAGAAGGAAAAGACTTTAGAAAGAACTGAAAACCCAATAATAACATAAATTTTAGAATTTAGACGGAGACATTAGAAGTATAGAGTTGAAGTAGAATTTAAAAGGAATCAGAAACTCAATTTGAAACAGGAAACAACAAATGTGTTGATATTTTATGTTAGTGAATCTTAGCAATATTAATGAACTTATAAATTATATTGATTGTCAAATTAGATGAGTAAATAGAAATGTTACACTCTATTCATAGAAAAGCACAAAACTGCTTTTATCCAAGTGATAAGAGAAAAATATACCCTATTTGATCAAGGTAAGTTCAACTCATGAGATGTGTTAAATACTGACAAACGTTTAATTTGAACACTTACCTGAAATTAAATGGTTTCTTTTGAATCACTTCGTTTGAATACACTCAAAACTTTATCTGAAAATTATCCCTTGTTTCCGGTTTCCAGTCTCTTCTAATGGTAATATAAGTCCACACAGTAACCCTCTACCTTGAGTTGCTCTTGGGCCTTGTATTGGTGAACATTAGTAAGAAAAAAAGAAAAAAGTCTGTTTTGATTAAAATTAAATAAATAATATTAAGAAAATGCTGCAGTTGTGGTTTTCATTAATTAAAAATATTTATTTTTCAGGGAAAATGTCTGTGTCAATGGATGATAAGCTTGTTGGCGAGAAGGCCCACTATTACTGCAGCAGCAGTGAAGAAGAAGAAGAAGAGGAGGAGGAGGACTATGGAGAAGATGATACTCCTCAGAAAACGATCAGAGAACCAACTTTTATTCCTGAACCTGAGATTAAAAAATATGAAGGAACATGTACTAATGTAAGTATTAGTGACTAATTGAAATAGATTGTATCATAAGTGTAATGCTGTCCAAAGTTCTTAGATGAAACATTATCAATAATTTTTGAATAGTATTTCTCGCAATTTTTCTTAATTTTTATTGTGACTCCAAAATTGTCATTCTCTGATGGATAGAAATAAATTAGTTTTCAGTGTGAGTTGAATTTCCTTTAACCTTTCAGGTTTGTCTTTCCATAACAGCATCTTGCAAATTTGGCCATAAACCAGTTAGTCTCTTTCAAATTTAGCTATATAGCTATATATTTATATACAGTCAATTAAGTGCCATATGTGATACACACTTGAGTGATCATGTCTCTTTCAGTTCATGACTGACTAGGCAGAAGATTTTCCTGCAGTAGCTTGCCATTTCTTTTAGTGGGAGACTGGTTTCCAGTCAAGGCTATAGGACTCGGTCTGTCCTGCTATTCAACACGTAGCTGAGAGGAGAAGAGGTGGATTCATGCCTTTCCCAAGGGTTTTTGTGCATAAGTGAATATAACAAACTCTACTAGAATTTGAACTCTGCTCTCTGATTCCTCAGTCTGAGCCGCAATCCATTCCACCACAACACATTCTTATATACATCAAAAGGATTCCTTACATTTGACTTTGTGGGACTACTTTTCCTTGAATAAGGAATCCTTTAAATTCTTATATACATTTAAAAGATTCCTTATTTAGCAAGGGGCTGCTATAAAAAGGCAAGAATAAGATATGCAAATTCAAGTCTTGCTCGAGGTTTTTCTTTATTTGTGATCCACACTTAACAGCTACAGCTGTGAGTTCCAATAAAAAGCATCTGAAATAAGATGAAAGAAATAGGAATCAGAAATTAATAATACCTTGTATTTGGATTAAAAAAAAATACCTTGTATTTGGATTTTTAAAAATACCTTGTATTTGGATTAAAAAAACACCTTGTATTTGGATTTTAAAAATACCTTGTATTTGGATTTTAAAAATACCTTGTATTTGGATTTAAAAAAAATATTTCTTAATTCAAATTTATAAGAAAAAAATTGACCCAAATGATTTTAAATTTAGCTTGAAATAAAACATAAAAAAGCTTCTGGCCACATCATGTTGTAACATTGGTTCCCATATGATCACCAAAGTTAAGCAACATCAGTACCTTGATGGGTAACTGCTTGGGAATACTTAGATGTACAGGTGGTGTAATTGATAATGGTTCAGAATTGTTAATTGGATAGCTGAGTTCCAATTTCTGTTGGGTTTGCTATATTCAGTTACGTGCAAGTACTCTTGAGATAGGTATGAATCCATTTTTCTCCCCCAGCTATGGGTTATTAGTAAGACATGTATCATTAAACCATTATTATATTCGCTACTCAAATTCTTAGAATCTAAAAATGTTTTCTGATTTTAAATAACCTGCAAAGGGTTTATAAGTCATAAAAAACAAATCAATCAAAACTAAAAATATTTATGCTGACTAACATTTAGGCAAAACATTAATCTCGATGTTCAATCTATCATTGTAAGAACAGTTCATATATTTATGAATTAATGTGTACATTGTAAAATTGTTTAGCACAAACTTTTTGCACCTTACAAACTCATTTAGTAACTGTCTACCTTGAGTAGCTCTTGGGCCTTGTATTGAAAAAATACTAAAAAAAAAAAGTTTAATGAATGAAAAATATAAGGTTTGATACATGAAAATCTTTTGATCCCGCACTCCAAAAATAAAAAATCCAGAAAGTTTCTCATTTTTATTCTGGATGCACTCTAGGATATCTGTATTAACCAGTATTGTCTAATACAGGAGGTCACATGTATTTTCTTTATTTCTTTACTTATTTTGAATATGTAACTTTAATACAAATGTATTTTCAAGATATTCAAAATTCTTACCTTCCACATTTTTTTTTTGTTAGTGATTGGCTTAGTAGTAATGTTTTTTTTTCTTTTTGTTTGCAGACAGGTGTGAAAGGAGTCATCAATGATTGGCGAGAATACAAGAAATTAGAAACGGAAAAAAAGGAAGAACAGGAACAAGAAAGAAAAAAGTTGCTTAAAAAACTTTCTATGACTTGTCGTTCCCATGTAAGTTGTTTTGACTTCCATTTTTAGTTAAAAATAATTCTGATATTTTCATTCTTTAACTTGTTGACATTTGATTTTATTTATAGCTTGAAGCAGAAGGATTTATTCATTCTCAAAGTATGAAAAATTATTGTTATAGCTATTGTTTAATTTATTTCTTTATCACTGGCATATATATATATATATATATATATATATATATATATATATATATATAGCTAATGCTAGCAGTGCTTTGGCAAACTTCGCCATCACTTGTGGAAAGAGCAGGGTATTCGACTAGATACAAAAATTCGGGTTTACGGAGCTGTTATTCTTGCCATCCTTTTGTATGGCTCAGAGTCATGGACTCCATACAGGTACCATATATGCCAGCTGGATGTTTTCCATAAAAGCTGTCTGCGTGCAATCTATGGAGTTAACCTTCAAGATAGGACATCTAACATAGACCTGTTTAACAAGTGTAATATTGGAGGAATCGAGATTTTTCTCATACAGTCTCAGTTATAGTGGACTGGTCATGTCTTGAGAATGTCTGATGACAGAATACCCAAGATCTTAATGTACAGCCAGTTAGATCAGGGCTACAGGAATGTAGGACACCTATGGCTAAGATACAAAGACAAACTGAAAAGCAACTTGTCAGCTGTCACTATACCACATAACACCCTTGAGCACTTAGCCTTGGAGCAAGGTAGAATGGAGATCAACATGTTTTAGTGGACTCAGTAGTTTTCAATCTGCTTGTCTGAATCATCTTCAAGAAGTGAGAGCAAGATATAAAAGGTCAGCCAATCTAACAGTGATCTCATCTCACAATCCTCACTCTTGCTACATATGTGGCCTCCTTTGTAAATCACTAGCGGGTCTTAAGTGCCACTAAAATTTATCACATAAAATTTAATAACTGAAACAATTAAGCTGTCAGATCCTCATACGTCAAAACTGACAGGAGAGTCCATTATTATTATATATACAATATTAAAAGATTACTTAACTTTTTAAATATCAATTTTTATCCGGACATGAATGTTTCTTAGTAATATTTACCATCATCAGGGGTAGTAGTTTGAACAGTATTTCCAATTTATTTTCACCTTGTTCCATGTCTTTTTCAAGCTTTTTTTATTCTGTTTTGTATACATGTGTATGAATTTATTGTTCTTTTACATGTGCATGTTCATGAAATTTTGCTTTTGTTTACGTCTTTCATTTTTTCAGCTGTAGATTATTCTTCCAGTTGTTATTGTGTGTGTGTGTGTGTGTGTGTGTGTGTATATATATATATATATATATATATCTCACAAAATACATTCGAATGCTTGAAGGTGGTCATCAGTGATGAAAGCCGTCTTCATCACTGATTTCGGGGTTCTTATTCATCCTATCAGCTCCGACAGCCACCCACGACCTGTTATCTTATTCTACAGGTCGCCACCGTGTAAAGAATTGTGCTAGTGCTCATGACAGAATTTATACTTTCAGCTCTTAAGAAAAAAAAAAAAAATAAACCAACGGAAGCGTCCAAAATTGCTTGCTCTGTCCAATTAAAAATATTTTAATGATACATTTAGCTGTTCACTAAAATGGGGGTGTTTTTTCCCTTTTCCCCCTTCCTCCTTCCAAACTGAATTATATAAATTGCTTGCTTCGCACCAATTAAAATCTTTCCTCCAAAAATGACTTATAGTATTCAATCAAAACAAAAAAAAAAAACATTACTAATATGTTTCAGGTGGTTAGGTTTTAACTTGTTAAAGTTTTTATTATCGTATGGAATGGATTGATTTTACATATTTACAATTAAAATAAATCAACGATACCGGGAGGGACAGATGGAATATTAAATTGAACTATATGGGGACGGATGAAATATTGATTTGAGATAAATTAACAATTTATATAATACTACTATCGTATAAAAACGGGTGAGTTCTATATTATTAATTTAAAATAAATCGACGATATTGTCCGGGGGCTAGATTTTTATATTATTAAGGTTACAATATATTATCAAAACAAAGAAAAAAAAAACAAATTAATTCTAAATTATAACGTTTAAAATAAGTCGATGATATTTTAGTGTATGGTATAAATGGATTCTATTAATGTTAAATTGTGTAGATTGATTTTAAATTATGTTACATTAAAATATAATATCATTATCGTATGAACGGGATAAATTCTAAATTATGATAATTTCTTGTACCTGAACAACATCGGATGTTAAGTTACAATATTTTTTGTTTCATGAAAAATTATCGAGAGTTTGTGAATTAAGTTTAACTAATAAAACCTACAAAGAACCTATTTATTCGCAAGCAGCGTAAATCCAAATAAATTTTATCAATACTGAGGGGTGATTTTGTATCTAGCTTTTCAGGAATTGTTTTCCATTGAATTATTCCCCCACTGCTCGGATGCTTTAAGCCATATCCATTTAGAAGCCGTCAGAGCTTCATTTGAAATTTTCTTTACGGCTTTGGCTTTAGCTGATCCCACAATCCCTATTTTCCTAAAAGCTTTGCATAATGACTGGCCTACAAAGCCATGGCATCCTACTTCCACAGAGTCATATGTGACCTTCCAGGAATTTTGTTGACACTTTTCGATCAGTTCTTGATATTTTGATCGTTTCCTTTCGTTTGCTAATGTCAGATGTTCTTCCCAGGGGACTGTGAGCTCCCATATTATACAGTGTTTGACGGAGTTGGAATAGATAATCAAGTCGGGTCTGAGTGGTGTTTCCGCTATATGTCTGGGAAACTTTAGTTGCATCTTCAGGTCTGTATCCAAATGCCAATCATTTGCTGACAATAACAAGTTTGTTTTGGGGATCGTTTGTTTTTTCTTCTTTGTTCCCTCTTTAACAAAGGGCATTAATATGAACTTCTTATTCGGTTTGTATTTAGAAGTTCTCACTTCATGTTCTTTTAGGACTTGGTCGTGGCGCCAACGGTATCTACCATCACTCAATATATATATAGTTGTTAGTCACAACAATATCAGTCTAATGAACGGATATTTTAAAAGAGTGTTCAGTACACATATCTGAAAAAAAATTGAACCTTTAGAGCAGATAATATTAAAAAATTGGAGTAATTACCTGTTACAAAACATTGGTTTTAAATGTAAAGTTGTTTCAGGTGGTATTAGCAAATTATGTTTTTTGTAAACATGCCATTTCACAGTTTATATATCTAACACCATAATAGGAAAATCCACAGAAGGGAAGGGGTATAGCAAGCGTATTGCAACCCAGAGGTAAAAAAAAACAAACTATTTATTGTTGGATGCATTCACATCCAGATTTGTACAGGCCCAAAATATACTGATTTACAAGTCTGCATTTTGTCAATAACTGACCTCTCATTTAATAATTTTTCTCAGTCCAGGTATGTCACTATGGCCAGCTTTTCCTCTTGACATGATTTACAAACACTTCTACCAATGCTGCAAGACTTGATCTTTTTCAAAATACTCCATTTCACATTAGGGCTTCTATTGCGTTTTTTTAACACCCACACATGGCAGGCGAGTTTGGTACGGTACTTGTGGCTTTGCAATTTAAATGAAAATTTATGGTTGTACCATTTTTTTCTTAAGTGTACCTTCCATGTCCTGCGTAGACCTTGCTCTGCCAGCTGGCATCTTACACTGCTGCCTTGTAAATCACTCCTTCCGTATTATAGGGAACCATCTAACAGACATTTACTTTTATCTATGCAATTGCAAGAGTTGTTATTGGGCACTAGTACTCTGTGTGTCCGTCTTGAAATTCCTTGTATTTTGTTTTTTTATTTTTTCCTAAGTTTTCCAAATTGCTAGAACAGCTATTGCTCAATTTTACCATATTGAATTACTGACGTGCTTGATTATATATATATATATATATATATATGAGGCACCAAATCATTAGTTGTTGATTAACAAAGTTGTCATTTTCATTGGTGATTTGACTTTTAAGTTGATTTTGAGAATCATCACAGGTGGGCACCATTAATCAAAAAGTTAACTTTGTTAACTGTCATTTCATTAACCCAAAAATTAACTTTGTTAATTGTTGATTACTTAGCTCAAGGACACATGCCATAGTGGAGAAAGGCATTGGTTAGATCCCTTGACAGGACCCAAAGACTGAGTTCAATACCCAGTTAAGGCAGTGGAGAAGTTGGAAAGGGGAATTAACAGGAGATAACTGACAACTGACATCCATTAAACATGGCACGTGGAATTAGAACAGTCTACCCCAGTGAGCAAAATAAAGGGTTCATTTCGACATTCCAACCACTTGAAGAAGGCCAGAGCGTACAACGGCTGAAACGTTGTAATAAATATGGTGATAAAGATGATGATAATAGTTCGAATAATGTAAATAGAATACACTTTTTATAACAAAATGACTAACAATACAACACAAAAAATTATAAATGTACAATCAATACTTTTTTTTATAAAAAACATTACCAGCAATACATTTCTGTAGTGAAATAACCAGCAATATATTTTATGATCTACAAGCTATATATCTAAAAACACCTACCTTTTACCCAAAAAATATGAAATTACGTACAAAATATTTAGATTTCAGCATTAACCCTTTGGAGATGGAGCTTCATTTGGAGTTTCAGTGCCAAGAAGACAGAGCCCTTTTCACAAGGCCTCACTTGGAATAAAATCACAGAACATAGCATAGAAACCACCATTGAAAGGCCCAGATGTGCAAGAAATGTTAGAAGCAGTTTGATTGGCTGGTAAGAAGACCAGCCAGCTAATCTCAAGGCTTGTATAATTGGGCTGACAGATTGGCCCAGTCATTTTCTTCGTCATTTGACTTTTCAGCTGATAGATCAGCCTGTCACCTCCTAAGTGTTAAATAACCCATAGAGGTTGATATGCCACTTAACAAAATCAACCAATCAACAAACATCTATGTACAGAAATGCTGAGTATCATCTACCATGTATTCAACTGTGAAAGCAGAATAACATATATCAGATTTTTATTACTTCAGTTTTAAAAGAAAAAAAACCCCAAAACATGCCTGTTTTATTTAGCAGGTACTAAATATTTAAATTTTCATTGTGTTTTATATCATTGTATGTGGTAATTGGTTTTTGGAACAAATTTATGTTAATTTCATTTTATGATTTGAAGAAATTTCATTTCAATGTGAATTGTAATATGTAGTTTATTTTTGTGCTTCTTGTAGCTTGATGACGAGAAAGAAAAAGAAAAAGACCAAAGATTCCAAGAAGAAATTGAGAAAGAACTTGAAGAGTTGGAAGACGAATTCATTCGGGAATATCGTCGCAAACGGCTTGAAGAAATGAGAAAACAAATAGATAATATGTAAGCATATTTTGAGGATGCATATGTTTTCATAAAATTAAAATAATTCTTTAAAAAAAACTTAAAATGTCAGCAGGTGAAGTGAATGTATAATCAGAGTTGGTGAAATTGGAAACCTTTGCAATGACTTGAACCAAGCTTAGCAGATATTTTTCTCTGGATTAGGCAGGTGAGAAAGTAGTTGGAAGTTTTTCTATCTAAACAAGTAAGTTGCACACAGTCATGTAGATTTGAAGTCGAAAAACTGAAATTTGATTGCATTTTTACTTTCAAATTATCTTTTGTTGTTTAGTATTTAAAAACTTCAAAATGGTTATTTTGAAAAAAAACAAAAAAGCAAAATGGAAAATCTTTTAATAATGTAAAAGAAAAAAAACAGCCAAGTGTGAATAAGTTCTGGCATGCCAAATTTTTAAAAATAAGTTATCTGGGATGATATTTTAAGATGATACTTAACTGGAAATGCTGAACCAGGATTTGTTCAGGGGCTCCTAAAGGTACTTGCTACTTTGAATTTTAGTCTTAATTTTGGTTTGAATTTTACCTTGTATTTTTAATTTAATTTGTATATTTTCCAGATTACCTCCCTCCTGAATCTGTAAATTTTAATTCATTCTAATGTATAAATTGTCCACCTTTTTATCTGTTCTTCTGCTAAGTTTGAGAAAGGCAGGGGTTTGTAATGTTTTGTGACATGAAGGATAGGTTAGTACCCCTCCCCCAAAAGTCCAAGTAAATGGTAGGAGGAGAATTTTAGAAATAAATAGATGAAAATAAGTTAACTGGCATGATATTCTAAGATGATACTTGAAATGCTCAACCAGAATTTCTTCAGGGCCTCTAAGAGGTGCCTGACACTTTTGAATTTTAGTTTGAATATTTTTTTTTAATCATTTCACCCCATGGAAGTAGTGTGTACTTCAACCTAATTCTGATAGTATCTAAAGCAGTGTGTACTTCAGCCTAATTCTGATAGTATCTAAAGTAGTGTGTACTTCAGTCTAATTCTGATAGTATCTAAAGCAGTGTGTACTTCAGCCTAATTCTGATAGTATCTAAAGCAGTGTGTACTTCAGCCTAATTCTGATAGTATCTAAAGCAGTGTGTACTTCAGCCTAATTCTGATAGTATCTAAAGCAGTGTGTACTTCAGCCTAATTCTGATAGTATCTAAAGTAGTGTGTACTTCAACCTAATTCTAATAGTATGATACATGCAATCCTGAAATTTTGGATTCCCAAGTTTTCATTACTGCAATTGATTTTTATATTTTGATTTTTTGCGACAAAATTCTTTGTACGATAACAATTTTTATAACTTGGAAATAAATCTAGAAATAATTGAAATGAATTGTGAATCCTGTGAAAGTCACTCATGAAATAAAAATAATTGTTTGTATGGAAAGTAAGGACCTACATACATTAAATTGTCTTTAAATTAAGTGGGGGCAGAAGAATTATTGTTGAACCGTTAAAAGGTAAACTTAAATATTAATGCAATACTTAAATGCAGCGATCAATTTTGAGTTCTGTATTTTATTGTTGCCTATTGCATCTACTCCTCCCTGCCTATTGTAATGAAGGCCCAATCAAAATCATTCTGCATGAACTACTTTAAATGCTGCCCAATAGGGCGGCTTTTAAGCTAGTTAGCAACAAATATGTAAATTATCACTGTGATGTGTGAACGATATTTTTGAGAGTGAGGCTCGTTTTTTAATTCTCTTAAAATATTTGAATAAATTAGTATAAAATTTAGTGATAAATTACCTGAAATTGGCTTTATTATGTACATTGTAAAAACAAAATAAGTTTTATCATTGGATTCCACGTGTTAGGGAATTGTGTCAAGAGCAAAACCTTAATTGCAAATCTATTCTGATTTTAATCTTGTAAAATATTCCATTAAATATTCATTGCATTACATGATTTTGAATATTTAAAATATTCTCTAATTTTAAGAATAAAATTATAATTTAACATTAGATGTCATGATATTACCCTTTTGTTTTTGTTTTTATAAAAAGGTTTTCATTTTTGACATTATTTTCTTTGGACTATTATTTTCATTTTTTTTTTTTTTTTGCTGCTATCACAATGTTTCAGCCACTATACCCTCTGGCCTTCATCAGGTGTATATCAATTTGGGTAACTTTTCAGGTAATTCTGAACCAAACCCTTTATTTAATTCACTGGAGTAGACTGTTCTTGTTCCACTGCCCATGTCTAGGGATATTTCATTTAATCCACTAAGTCAGAGGTCAGTAACATTTTAGAAAGAGCAGGCCAGAAAGCCATGCTGTGTCTCAGTGTAGAACCATATCAAATATACTATAATAAATTGTCTTGACCTTTGACCACTCCATCCAGAAGGCTCCCTTGGTCTGGGGGTTTAAAGAAAAACAACAAAGTTAATGTTATATGTTATTTAAATATGGTTCCTTATTTTACTGCAAGAATAACAGTATAACAGCTAACACAAACAACAAAAAATGAATATTCTTTACTACAAAGGAAATATAATTAGAAATGGTAAATTATTTAATGAGACACTTGTTTCTGCTTATTGTTCAATAACCTTGCCACATCATGTGAAATATTTGTCTATGACAGGAGCAAAACATCAACTTTGTGGTCATCACCCAACCTTGTTCTTAAATGACTTTTAGCATATTTCATTTCCCAAAAAAGTTGTTCCCAAGCCTATGTACTTCTAAATAATGATATCACCATTTTTGTCATTATTCAATAGGCTTCTGTATTTCTCGCTTGACATAAAGCATTTCTTATAGCAGTGGATTCAGAATTAAATTTTGAGTTAAAAAATTTGCCGCATCGTTAGTCGATTAACTTCAACTGATATTTTTCTGCCACTTGCTCCACAAATGAATTAGATAATTAGTGTCCAGGTGTTAAGCTGACAAAAATCCTTTGTAGGTCAGATTTGGCCTGGATGTAGGCTGGGGGGTTGCTGATCTCCTGCATTAGGTTATTTTTCTATGAGATGAAGGTCAATAGTTCAAATGTAACTAGTTAAATAATGATAACCCCCTCAAAAATTCAGACAGGTTTTCATTCATTCAGTTTATGATATAGATGATGCCAATTTCAAATAGAAAACTTTGTAATTAAATTAATTACATTTTTTTCCTATGTCCTAAATAAATATGCTTTTCCTCATGTTGTAAATAACATCTTAAGATTTAAATACCAGAGAATCTGGTAGTTTTATTTTTTTTTAAATTCTGTATCTTCATTATTACTTTCAGACATTTGATCTCATCATTGTTGATTTTAACAAAACACTTGATATGTCTGGAAAGGGATATATTTGATCGAAGTAGCTAAGTGGTTTTGGCTACTGTAACCAAGTAGAATATGGTAGCAGTAATCGACTGGTACTTGTTGTAGTCGCAGGTAATAGGTGTAGACCAATAGGATAGCCAATGGTGTAATCTGTTGGGCGTCATTATAGACTTAAACTCTGTTGTACCTACACATCCGTTTGTATTTATGACGGACACCAGTCAATCATATTCTAGTGAGGGGGAACACAGGTGTATACATATTCCATTATATCAACACTTTAGCTGATATGTTCTTTAGCAGAATCGTAGGACTGTGTGTTAAGGTTTTGTATATCCAAGATGAAAAACCTAGCTGGACTGGAATTTGTCCTTTTTTTTTTTTTTTTTTTTTTTTTTTTTACTCCTGTTATAAAGAGTGTTGATAAGCACACACTGCCACACATTCAAAATGTGGTTTGTGTTGACTCCTTATAAAGAAATGGAGTAATGGTGGTATTTGATGGCTAAAATTAATCTTACTAATTCTGGTTGTGGTTTTATAGCATAGGAGGTGGAAAAATAAAAAAAAAAAATAAAAAAATAAAGTGAGATATAAAAATCACCAGATGCATACTACATTTGAGGAGGGCTGAAGAGTTTATTGGCTGAAATTTTCTGTTAAAACAACATGAAGATAATCATATTGCCATCAAATATGAAATAGTGAAAATATTTCATTTTAGAAATTAAAAAAAAAATACAGTAAATCTGGGTCATCTGCTCAAATGTGTGAAATGTACAGAAATGAAGACACATTTTATTGAGATGTTTTATAAATAAAAACAAACTTTTTAAAAGAGCTTTTATAAAAAAACAACATTATGTTGCTTTTATTTAATTCTATCTACATCTATAATTCATAAAATGTGTGTGTGTGTGTATGCATGTATGTGATCGGATGTTGTTTACGTGTTTCCACTACTTCCTGTCTATTATAACTCTCAGTAATATTTTACTATTTACTATTTGTTCTTGGATAGATATCTTTCATAAAAACTTTAATAAAAATAAATAGTTTAAATTATTACAATAATATTATCTATATCTATAATTCTCAAACTGTGTGTGTGTGTGATCGGATGTTGTTTATGTGTTTCCACAGTTTTCATCCAATTTCAATGAAATTTGTTGCTTGATAGATAATTCTTCAGTGGCGGTTTTGAGTTCAAATTCACTTGAAAAAATTACAACCTTGAAGGTGAAAATCGAAAAAAAAACTGATTTTTTACACTTTGCGCAAAAATCAAAGGCAAAATTCAATGTCTGTAAAAAAAACAGCGTACAATCAATTTAGAGAATTGACATCTAACACAAAAGATTATTAGAATCATAAAAAAAATTATATTATAAATAAAAATTATTGAATATTATTATTATGACGGTCTATGGAAGAGGTTCTTTCTTTGCAAGATTGAGAATGCAACGGCCCTTTTCAGGACTACCCCCATTCAAATTGAGTCCCCCCCCCATTTGAGAATGTGTCACAGTTGCACCCAATTGTTGTTACTAATATTGATTTTCAGGTGAGCTGACTTAAACTTAAATTACTCCAAATGAACGGTAAAAATTCCCAGTAGCGAAAAACTCAGTCAAAGACGGGTCATACTGCTAGTTCTAAATAAGTAGAAGATTTATTCTCATTCTTGACTCCACTTTTTTGTTTTTTCACAGACCAAAGTTTGGAAGAGTCTATGACGTGGTTGCTGATAATTTTGTAGACAATATTGACAAAGAAAATCCAACAGTGACTATTATAGTTCACGTATTTGGACATGTAAGTATGTATTCTTCAAGTATTTAATAACTAGGGAGAAAAGTAAAAAAAAAAAAAAATTTCTTTCTTCATCACCAAAATGGTGCATGAGTTATTGGATATTAAATGAGTATTCACATCAGCTGGATATTAAATGAGTATTCACATCAGCTGGATATTAAATGAGTATTCACATCAGCATGTATCAAATGAGTATTCACATCAGCTCATATCAAATCCTCATACAAAAGATTTATAGTTTAAATAAAATTATTCAATTATGAATATTATTCACTACTTTAGGCATCCCATGAAAACCGATGGCATATTTGAACTCCTTACTATTAGTAGAATATTTTGATATGTGAGTCTGAATATATATTTTTCTAATTATTGTTTCACAGATTTGGTCTTTTCATTTCTATTCTTTACAGACATTTTTGAGACGGTTCACCCTTCTCATAACTAAGATACTGCCATCTGGTATCACCCTTGTAAGAGGGATAAATTTAGTTATTTTTCTGGCACTAACAACATTAAAAGTTATTTGTATTATGGACCAAAAAATTCACAAATATACTTAGTATTATATAGTAATATTATTTACTATTAATTATTAAAATTGGATGTGGAAAAAAATTTTTTAAATTTTGTCCATCATGATTGAACTCTGCATGTGTACCATTTATTTCTTGTAGAAAGTCGATGCTTGTGAGGCTATGGATGGATGCATACAATGTCTGTCGCAGGAATACCCCTCCATTAAATTCTGCAGAATCAGTGCTAAAGATGCAAAGCTTAGTCGGAAATTTGTAAGTTATTCTTTTGTTCATTTAGTCCTGAGTATGACGATAAACTACATCCAGCAGCAAGGCTGCTGATTGGGAGGTTTTGAGGAGTGTAGAACTACTTAATTGCTGTTGTTCAACCTGACCTCGGGTGGTAGCACCTGTTAGAGTCCCAGCTATGGCTAAATAGTGAACTCACAAACAAAAACAAGACTATGAAAGTAGAGAAATATCAGCAACACATTTTTATATAAGAAACAAAATTACCAACATTAGAATTTATCTGTAGTTGAAGCATTAAGATTGCGTTCAAAATATTTAGATTTCAGCATTAAATAACCCATGGAGTTTGATATGCTGCTAAACAAAATCAAGCAACCAATCCTTTGTTTATTTTGAAAAGGAAATAATTATCTTCCAATTATTTTTGTCTTAAGTTTTCTTTTTATTCATTCACTTGACAAAGTTATAATTCAGGTTTCATGTAACAGAAATAACTTTAAAATGTTAAAATATGTTTTATATGGGCCTATTTATGATTTATTTCATAATTCCATTCTGTTTATTTATGAATTACTTTTTGGTTTTACATTAGGGTTCACTCTGTACAAGGCCCAGTAGGGGCACTCGAGGTAGAGGGTTATGTTAGGGATAGTTTATATGGATAGTAGGGGAATATAATGGTTAACTCTAGACTTGAACAGGTTAAGATTGGAGTAATCGGATAAACATCCTCCTGGGAGTCTGTTCCAAAAGGCAGTTGTTCATGGGAAGGAGCTTTTTGAGTGGAACTTACTTCTTGCCAATAGAATACAGAAGGAATGTGGGTTGTTTACCATTATGTAAGTGATATTGAAGGTCCTTTTATGTAAATTAAATCAGTTTATTTTGAGTAGATTTTATCAATATAAAAAATCTCTCATTGGGTAATTGATAACAAAACTATCAAATTCAGAGAAGATTCTTCAGTTTCAGCTCAGTTCTGAAAGCATTATAAATGATAGTTTGCCATTAGTGTCAAACATACTGCAAAGAAACAACTGGATCTTTTGATTATTATAGCTGTGTTAGTAGTACTGCTACCAAGTGGCACTTGCGCCCTTTCCTTTGATCTGTACTGGAACCAAGTGGCACTTGTGCCTTTTCCTTTAATCTGTACTGGAACCAAGTGGCAGTAGTCGCCTTTCCTTTGATCTGTACTGGAACCAAGTGGCACTTGTGCCCTTTCCTTTGATCTGTACTGGAACCAAGTGGCAGTAGTCGCCTTTCCTTTGATCTGTACTGGAACCAAGTGGCACTTGTGCCCTTTCCTTTGATCTGTACTGGAACCAAGTGGCACTTGTGCCCTTTCCTTTGATCTGTACTGGAACCAAGTGGCACTTGTGCCTTTTCCTTTGATCTGTACTGGAACCAAGTGGCAGTAGTCGCCTTTCCTTTGAGCTATACTTAGGAAGGGTTCTTGACATGTGTACAGTCCAAAATCTTCATATCTCCCAACCAAGGCTTGTAGTGCATTGTACTACATCATTGTCTCTCAAGATGGACAGATGCCAACTTGAGGTGAGACTGAAGTTTTATTTTGGTGCACTTTGTAGTCTACTCCTCAACTCTGCTAAATACTATGAAAATAAAAATAACAAAAAAACTTATTGGTATATACAGTGGGATGAAACAAATGTTTGTACACAGACAAATTTGTAATTTATTGTATTTCTAACTAATGAATAGACACTTTTCATATAAGTAACTGTACACAGATACATAATCACTAAATAAGCATAGAAAACAGAAAAGATTTGATTTGATAGAAATAAATTCCATTTATCAATTTTAATGGTTGAAAAAAGTATTTGTACAATGCAAATTTCATATTTTAAAACTTTTTAATTGCTTTAATGCTCTAGATTATTCAAGTAGAATATTCTAGCATGTCCCAGTAATGTTATTAGTAGTTATTTTTAGCCTAAAAAATACAAACAGAACATTCTTTAATTGATATTCGTGCAAGAAGGTTTTCATCATGGCAAGAAATAAAGTATTGACAAATTCGCAAAAAGAATTGATTATTAAGCTCTGCAAAGAAGATAAAAGTTACAGGAAAATCTTAGACAAACTGAATATTCCATTTACTACCATTAGTTCATTCATTGCAAGGTGTAAAAAAACGCAAAAACTAAAGAAGAACAGCTGCTCCATGGAAGATTTCTTCAAAGAAATTAAAGTATCAAATTAAACAAAATCCACTGGTTACTCATCAAGAGTTGCAGGATAATTTGCTTTAATCAGGAATCTGTCAATAAACAGACAATAAGCAATGAAATTGATAGGAGCAATCTAAAGTCATGCTCCCCTTGGAAAAATCCACTGCTATTGAAAATACACAGAGATGCCAAATTGAAATTTTTTTGATGAACATAAGTATATAGAAAAATCATATTGGGAAAGAGTATTATCAACAGCCAAAGCCAAAATTGAGTTGCTTGAAGTAATTCTAGAAATCATGTATGGAAGAAAGATGGTGATACCTTCAAACAAAAAAAAAATCACAGTTCCAACAGTGAAATGTTTTTCTGCAAAAGGTACTGGCAACATATCAGTAATAGATGGTAGAATGTATGTCACAGCATATTACAATATTTTGGAAGAACATTTAATGATTTCAGTTGAAAATCTTGAATTTCTTCCTGAATGGATCTTCCAACAATATAATGATCCTAAGTACACTGCAGAATCTATGAAGAAATGACTTGCTGAAAATAAGGTAAATATACTGAAATGGCCAAGTCAGTCCTCAGATTTAAACCCAATTGAGAATCTGTGGTGGTATTTGAAAATTCGAATCCAATTGAGAGCTCTAACAAACACCCTGGATCTGAAGACCATATGTGAAGAAGAATGGAACAAAATACGTAGTAAAATTTGCAAATCATTAATCAAGAACTACAAGAAGAGATTGGTTGCTGTAGATGTGAATAATGGCTATTCTACAAAGTATTAAATGAAGATTATGTATTTTTTGTACTGTACAAATACTTTTTTCTCACATTAAAATGATAAATGGATTTTATTTCTATTAAATCAAAATTTTTTCTGTTTTCTATATATATTTAGTTATTATGCATCTGAATATGTTTATTCATTAGTTGGAAATACAATAAATTAAAAATTACGAATATTTGTTTCCTCCCCACAACTGTATTTGTGACTGCACAAAATTCACTTTGCTAACTTTTGCTTGATTGACTAAGATGCCATTGTTATCTGCTTCATAGATAAAATATTTTTATATTTTGTAGCTGGATTAGGAGTTCAAGTTTAAAAGTCAGGACTTATTTTGAAGGTAGGCTGACTGACCCTTCCTAACACCTCCTCAACCCACTTATTACCCTCTAGTTCAGGCATGTCAAACTCAGGGCATATGTGTGACGAAAGACATGACTTACCTCAGAATTCGAAACGAGCGCGAGCATGTCTTGCCTGCAAAGTGATGACAAAAAGAAATATGGCTGCTATTGAAGACCCAATTTAGGTGTGCATATCTCGTCCAAAACGAAATGATATTTGCACACATGCAAATTTTGGCCGTATTGGAATAGCATAAAAAGCGGGGTGCCAGCAGCACGAGGGAAGCAAAGTCATTCGGTGGACTGCATGCAATAGAGCTGGACGTACGGATTGACAGATGGACAACGAGGAAGTCGAAGTATGCACGACTGAGTTGGTGTCTGTTTCACAACTGCCCAATGTAGCGGCTGAGAAAGGGAGTCACGCAATCCATTTCCTTGAGGCGATTGAAGTAGAAAAAATTTTTTTTTTTTCTCCTACAATATGGAGGGCCACATCGGCCACCTTGAGAGCCGCACCTCTTACAGTCTTATAATGATCATAGCTAGTGATAACTTTAAATACAAAATATTTACAATACAAGGTAGTACAATTTAATCATTTTTATGTTGTCCTGATGATTGACATTGCTTTATACAACCAATTCTTGGTATATTAGTTTGGAATGTCTGTGTAAATCCCACTTTGATCAAAGATGACAAATGTTCATTAGTTAATCTGGTTCTGTGAGACATTTTTGTGGCCTTCGTAAACAAAAATAACTGCTTACAGATATATGGGGAACCACACATCGCCATAATCTTTGTGGCAAATTTTCTGAAGTTCTTAAATGTCTGAGGAAGGTATGAAAAAAAAATCCAGGTACCCCTACTTCTAGGTACTTTCCCTTGAGTGTTGAGTCAGTCTACATTTCCAGTACTTCCATCTGTAGACTTTCTTCTGCCTGAGCAACATCAAAAGTGAATGGTACTGAGAATAATACAAACTGATCTTCACAAGATGAAAGATTACAAAATCTTTGCTGAAATACCTTTGACAGCAATTCCAGGTAATTGTCATACTTAGCAAAGATAAATACAGAATCAGTATCGGCAGTTTTTGTCAACTCCTTGCACATAGGTAAATGAATCAAGTTTTCATGTGACAACTGGGACTTCAATAAAGCTAATTTTGCAATGAAACACTTGATATCATCATATAACTGAATGATAAGCTTATTTTTACGTTGTAATTTAAAATTAAGGTCACTTGGCAGTAGTATCCACTGAAAAAGCTAGATCTTGGAGCCAGCTTTCATCTTTCAATTCATATGTGCTTTGACTCTTCATCTACCAAAATATAACAATTTTGTGTCATAATTTAAAAAAAAATCTTTTCAGTACCTTGTAGCATGAAAGCCATTGAACTTCTGTGTAGAATGGGTCATTTCTGAACTAGTTATTCACATCTTCCAATAACTGGCTGAACTGATGGTGATGCAGAGCATGATCTCTGATATAGTTTAGTTTTTGTGACAAAACTCAACACATGATCTGATTTTAAAATCTTAGAACATAAGTTCTGTTGATGAATTATACATTGAAAATACTTGAATGTTGAATCTGGATATATGTTTTCTATTTTTGTACCAAACTTGGCAGCAACACCATTATGTCTCCCAACCATATTGGCAGCACCATCAGTAGATAAAGACAGGTTTACTCATATCAAGGCCATACTCATGAAGAAGCTGTTCAACTTTCTCAAAAATGTCCTGGCTTGTTGTTGTATCATGCATTGGGACCAGTTCACTTAGTTCTTCATAAATTTGAAATTCATTGTCACAAGCCCTGATGAAAATGGTGAGCTGTGCTATTCCAGTTATGTCAACAGTCTCATCCAGAGCAATAGAAAAATGTTCAAAACTTGATGATAAAGTCTTCAACTGTTGACTCAAATCACCTGCGATTTCATCAATCTATTCAGCAACAGTGTTCCTGCTTAATAAAATATCTTGAAATAAGTGTGACTTCTCTGGACATACAATTTCAGCTGTTTTTATAAGACATTGTAGAGTTCAAAGCTTGCAGTAACAGAACTAACGTTGCCTTTCTGAATTTTTTTAAAGTAACTTTGTTGCTGTGTTAACTTAACCTTAAATTCCTTCACTTTTGAAACACGCTCATCTCCTTCATATTTATCATGAGATCGATGGTTTGCTTCATAATGTCTTTTTACATTATATTGGTTTGGTGTCACAATGCAGTGATTGCAAATCAAACAGTTTATCTTTCTATTAAAAGTGGTACAAAAGTACTGTAATTCCCACTTTTCTTGAAACACACGTGCTTCTTCAGATAATTCGCTCTTTTTATGAGATGGAATAGAATTCGGCATTTTTAAGGCAAAATATAAGAAAATTACGAACGTTTTTTTCACTTTAAATTTGTTCTTATTTAGTTGTCAAGGATGATCACATCATTAACCGGAAGTTAAAAAAAATAGTAGCTGACATTCGAAAAAAAAAAAAAAAAAAACATTGAGATAGAATAAACAATCTAATCATACCAATTGCAAAAAGATCTCAGTATTTTTAATAATTTGCATTACCAACATAGAGAACATTCTCGATATATGACGGCTATAGAAAAAAAAACTTTGTGAGGACCGCCAAGATGCATGTAAAGGACCACATGTGGGCCGCCAATTTGCCCCACTCTAAACTTAGTAAGCATCAGTAGCATTTGATATTTTCAAGAGTTACTTCCCTTATACCATTTTTATTTAAAATCATCAATAAGATTAATAAGTAGAGTTAGTCTACTTATTAGTCGTATGTCTTATCGTGGTGGTTAACAAAACAAGCCTTGCAGGTCATTGCCTTTGAGTTGTGAAACTGATTCTTACTGAGTACTCTACGCTTGTGACTTTGTGGCAAAAAGAATCTATATAATAATAACTACTATAAGTTTTAATTGAGAATTTCTATGAAATTGTGTTTTTAATAAATGTAAAATGGTAGTTTTTGAATATGCTCACAATAAAGGATTTTCATTTGACATTACTTTTACTATTATGTACATTATTTAAGTAGATAAACGTTTAAGTTGATATTTTTGTTTTCTTTAACAGTGAAGTTAATGTCTACCAGACTAAAATGTGTACCTGTTGGCAACGATCAAACCCATATTTTCTTTAACCGAAAAACTATTATTTGGCTGAGCTTATAAGGTGGTTTCCCCAGGATAAAGTGAATGCAGGTTTGCTCCCTGCTGAAAGGTACAATTAGTTTAATAAGACTTTCAATATTCTAGGCTGGTACACATTAACTTTGCTGTATAGAGAGAAAAAAAAAGGGAATGTCGATTCAGATGTCCACAAAAATGACATTAATAATATGTTCATGTAAAATAATGAAAAATAATGTTTTTCAAGAGGAGGTATGTGTTTACTGACTGATAATAATTCCAACATATATTCATCTGGTTGTCCAGAATAGGTGTTGAATAATATTTGCCATTGAACCAAGTTTTTACTTTTACTTCTGCCTACCACATAGTATGTTGAAGTAGTAAGTTTTGATTTTGTTAAATTTTAAGTACAGCTTGGTAAGCAAAGGAAGAAATTTTTTGTTTCTTGTTAAGATATTTATATAATTACTTAATAATTAATGACATTTCCCACTATTTACATCATTCAAGCTGTTGTCCTCATCTTTATTGCCATATTCACAATGTTTCAGCTGTTATACACTCCAAACATCTTCAAGTGATATATGTTAGAATTTCCAACTGAACACTTTATTTATTCCACAGTGAGCAGATTGTTCTAATTCCACATACCATGTGATAAACTACATTTGTGTCCTGGGTAAGATGATAAACTACGTCCAACAGCAAGACCTCTGATCAGGAGGTTTTGAGGAGTGTGGAACCACCTCTTAATTGCTGGTGTTTCCAGGTCTCCTCTGACCCGGGATGGTAGTACCTGTCAGCATCCCAGCTATGGGCAAATAGTTAACACTTAAACTTATGTAAAAATAGGTTTTAATACCAGAACTACTTTGTAATAAAAAAAAAAATTATTACCGGCAATAATTTTTGAAGGAAAAATTATCACCAATACTTAAAAAAAAAAATACCAGTAATACAAACAGTTATACATTCTTTGAAAAAAAATATGACCAGCTATAGATTTCTTCAAGGAAAAATAGTCCCAGAAATAGATTTTTGGAGAAAAACCTTACCAGCAATAAAAATTTTGTCAGCATTAAATAACCCATTGAGGTTGATATGCTGTAAAACAAGACAAACCAAACCAAACCACATACCATGTCTTTTTTGGATATTTCAGTATCAGTTAATTCCCTTTGGTAATTCACCTCTCCAAGTTTTGGTTCTATCTGCTGTGGCCAGGTATTGAACCCACAACTCTTTGGATTACTGAACCAACACTGAGCCATGTGTCCTTGGGGACACATGACTCAGAACACATGAACCAGTGGATAAAAGTGTTTAAATTAGAGCAATCTATGCATGTGGGCTAAATAAAGGATTCAGTTTGAAATTCAAACATATATCACATGAAGAAAGTTGGAGCATACAATGGTCAAAATGTCGTGAATATGGCATTAAAGATGAGATCAACAGTCTGAGCAATGTAAATAGTGTAAATAGTTACAATACCTCATCTCAGAAATATAGACAGATCTCGAAGAAGGCCTGTGTGTACAACAGCCGGCACGTTGTCAATAAGGCAATAAAGATGTGAACAACAGTCTGAACGATTTAAATAGTGTAAATAGTTATAATACTCAGAACTATAGACAGATATTAATATTTTTTAATAGAGTAACCAAAACTCTATTATTAATTGACAGTAAAGTAGGCAAATGACAGGTGGCATGTCTTGTGAAGAGTCATTCTGAAGAAATGCTGTTTCATTTTAGAATTTTCATTTTTCAGGCAACTGAAGGAGTTCCAGCCCTGTTGATTTACAAAGCGGGTGAGATGATTGGAAACTTCATTGCTTTGGGAAAGGAATTTGGTGAAGACTTTTTTGCAACGGACATTGAAAGCTTCCTTCAAGAGTAAGTAAAAAGAAAAAAGAAATTTCTTTGAAAATCTTTGAGGCACAGTGACCAATGGTTAGGAAAACTGGTAATCAGGGAAAAGTCCGGAAAGTTCCAGTAACTTTCTAAAAAAAACAGGAAAGTTCTTGATTTTTTTTTTATGCAATATAATGCTGATCTTTATTGTGTTGAAAATAAGTATCCTTACTTGTAATTCATAGAATATTCAAAATAGATTGGTTCAACATTATTCTTTGATGCAAATAGTCAGTATATTTACAGTTGTAGAATAAATTTACCTTGTGTCCAGGGCTGTGGAGCTGGAACACAAAACCTCCAACTCCTCTTTATGTAATTAAGTGATTATGGCCTACAAATCTCAAAGCTTATGCATTTGCTCCTAACTTAGGTAGGCCTATATCATTATAACTGGTTTATATCAAAGAATAAAAGATATTGTGGCTTTTATAATCATACCTATTCATTCTTCAATATTTTCTAACATAATTAGACAAAATCTTTAAAAGGATATAGAAGAAATAAAATAAACATGCTATAATGTAAAAATTTTTACACACACACATACATACATATATATATATATATATATATAAAATATGCAGTATTTAGTGGAATGTGCTCAATATCAGTGATAGAGCTAACATATTCTGTTGTATGGATATGAGTTTGTGACTGATGATCGCAAAAGTGCGAAACGCAGAGTCACAAACTCATATCCATACAACTCCATGCAAAGACAGTAAAGCCACTAAGACACAAGGGATTACGGAGTTGTGTAAGGATTAAGAACAGAAACATTAATAATGAGTGAGAAGAGAAAATTGTAATCAGGAGGACTGTAGATAGTGATTGATATTACATTTAAATTATTGGCTGATTTTTTTTCTAAATAAAGAGGTAACATTTTTTTGTTTTCAAAATCCTCTTTCATACATAATGGATTTGTCCATTGTAACACATTGTTTTTTCTTAAATACTAAATCTTAGAAGACTTTATAGCCTCATTCAAAAAAAAAAAAGCTGTTGCGTATGTCACCTCAGGTATCTTTCTGTCAACAAAGCCATACTCTCCTCCAGGATGATGTCTTCACTTCTTTTTCTAACAGCTATGATTAATGATGGAAGATATGAACAGTTTAGTGACTTTTGCAGTGACCCAACATAAAATGGAGCGAATCACCTTCAGCATCACTTGACATGACAAGAAGAGCAATACATGTATTCAGCAGCTGGCTGGAGTGATGGACATAACTGAGACTATCAAGAGGTGTAAATATAGATGGGCTGGCCACATCTCTTGCCTCAGGTGGACTATTAGAGTGATAGGGTAGACACCGAGACAGTTGTAAAGAACTAGAGTGAACAATGACCTGACCTAATACCATGGACCTACATGGCTTGTTATGGCCCTAAATAAGAAGTGGTGGAAGTCGACCAGGGAGGGGTTCATCTAACAGGAATGGGAAGGCCCTGGATTTGAATATAAAATTAATACGTAATGAGTAGTTACCTAATTATGCTCTTACTGATTAAGCCTAATCTTAGCTAAACTTATTTGACAGCTATTTTTACGCTTTTTAACTATCAGCAGTAGCTGTGTTACTCAGGAGATGCTAAAAACAGAATGTAAATATTAATAAATTGTCCAATTTAAAATTTGTATTTTAAAGTGTTCCATATCTTTATTTACTAATATTCCTCCTCCTCAGGAATTATTTTAACAAAAAACAAAAACATAATATTATTTATGATGATACTTTTTGTTTTCACTATTTACATTATTTGGACTATTGTCTTCATTTTTGTTGCTATATTTATCACAATGTTTCAGCCAATGTTTGCTCCGGTCTTCTTCAGGTAGTTGGAATGTCGAACTGAACCCTTTATTTCGCTCACTGGGGTAGACTGTTCTAGTTCCACGTGCCATGTCTAATGGATGTCAGTTATCAGTTATCTCCTGTTAATTCCCCTCTCCAAGTTCTCCACTGCCTTAACCAGGTACTGAACTCACAACTCTTTGGGTCCTGTCACTGGATCTAACCAACGCCTTTATCGATTGTGCCATGGTTAAAGCAGTGGAGAACTTGGAGAGGGGAATTAACAGGAGATAACTGATAACTGACATTCATTAGACATGGCACGTGGAACTAGAACAGTCTACCCCAGTGAGCAAAATAAAGGGTTCAGGTCAACATTCCAACCACCTGATAAAGTCCAGAGTGTACATTGGCCGAAACATTGTGATAAATATGGCAAGAAAGATGTGGACAATAGTCCAAATAATGTAAATAGTGTACATAATACCGCATCTCAGAAATATAGACAGATACTTTTAGTTTTATTAATAAGACATATTCTCTCCTTTTTGTTATGTTCCTTCAAAATGGCGACAGTCATGGTTCTCTACTACTTCCTATGTTGTGTTATTCTCAGCAATACTTTTTTCTTTCTGATCTTTTGTCTTTCTGCTACTTGTTCTTTCATCCATTTATACACACCCGTCAAGTTACTGCTTTCCTTTTGATGCATCATGTGAGTTTTAAATTCTCCAAGCCTCCTTTTTTTTTATTATGGGTCCCAAGAATTTCAAATTTCAACTATTTCCAATTGTTAACAACAGTTTCTTCATAATCACATGATCATGAGTCTCATAGCCCTTAGGGTTGTAATGTATTTGGTGAAAAAAAATTTATTAAAATTCCTTTATCATAGATTTTACTAAAATTGTTTTTGATATATAAAAAATTATGTGTCCTTTTCTCATGATTTAAATATGGTAAAAAAAAAAAAAAAAAAAAGATCTATAAATTCCTGGAGGTTAGTTTTCCTGTTCATAATTATTACTATTTGCATTCTATAAAAGTTTTTGATGTTTCTATAAAGATTTCAAACATTAAATATAACATCTGTTATGGGACATTGGTAGTTTCAGATTTTGATGTTGTTCAAGTATATGAAAGGCTACTGAATTTGATCAAGAAGCCCATTCAAAAAGGTAATGATGTTTGGTCAGATATAGGAAGTGGGTGAGTCAAAAATTTTTCAGCACCTCCTCATAATTATTTGATTCTTTTCATATTTGATGCGTGTATAAGACTTATACAAAAATTCCTGGCTTGTGTAATTAGTATTATTTTTCTCTCCTAATTTATTTAGTATCCAGAATGCCTATAATATTACTTTGGTAAAGTTTAACTTTTGGGCCCAAAAAAAAAAAAAAAAATGATTGTCAAAAGGGTGGTTTTTCCCTTGACACCACTATTATTTTATGCTTCTTTCATTCCTTCAGCAATATTTTTTTTTTTTTTTCAAAGTAATGATTAGAATTTTAATAAGTGAAAGTCAATTTATAGATTTTTTTTTTTATTATTCTTGAGAGTTTACAACAAAATTATTAAACAGTATTTGATTGTTTATTTACAAGAATAATTTTATATTTACAACATTCTAAAAATGTGAACAATCTAATACAATGCAATGTTTATCATTTACCAATTTATAAAGAAATAAATATGAAAACTATTCTTTTATTCATAAATTTATAAAAATTTACTAAATTATAAAAATGTGAGCTGACTATAATGAAATGCTTATTATTTACCATTTTATAAAGTGCAAACTGATTGGCAATTTACCGATGTTTTACCAATCATTTCAAAAAACACAACTTGCCAGTTTAACCAATTACTTTATTCATGGCACTGAGTATCCACTTTTCATTTAAGATTTCTTCCTCACTTAATACTTGACTGACTATAAATAATCTTTTGGCAAATTTTGTAGGCATTTTTAGAAAAATTAGCAATGATAAATTTAAATTGATTCTTTTCATATTCGATGCGTGTATAAGTCTTATACAAAAATTCCTGGCTTGTGTAATTAGTATTATTTTTCTCTCCTAATTTAATTTAAATTTTTTTTTCAAAAAACAGTACAAAGGGGGGTAACCTATAATTATTGGAGTTTCAGGCCTTGGATTTTTATTAATTAGGCATTCTTCATGCTAGATTATGATTATAAAAAAAATGTGTAGGAAGTCAGGTAACCTATAATTGTTGGAATTTCAGGTCATGGATTTTTATTGTTTAGGCATCCCTGATCATGATTATAAAAAAAAAAATTCGAAGTATCATGTTTATTTAAATTTTCTTGTTCTATAGTTCATAGATATCTTTATATAATTATGAATAAATAATTTTATTTATAAAAAATGGCAAATAATAAATATTGAATTGTAGTTTACAAATTTTGTAGAGTTTTATAAATTTTTGAATAAAAGATTTCTTTTCACATTTATTTATAAAATGATTAATAAATCTTTATAAAATGTTAAATAATAAATATTGCATTGTACTTGGTTCACAAATTGTTATAATAATTGGCTTTGTATATATATATAACCTAACTTAACCTATAGTTTGTTTTTCTTTTTGTTTATGTTTTCATCACTTAATGAACTTATTAATCTGATTGGCTGGTTCAAATACCAGCCAGCTAATCATGAGGCTTGTATTATTGGCCAAATGGATCAGCCCAGTCATCTTCTTTGTCATTTGACATTTCGGCTGTTAGATCAGCTCTGTTGTCTCCTGAGATTTAATTCAAGTATATTTCAGAGGGAGTCTTGCTGGTATATAGTAATGGCAGTGTTAACAAAAAAATGGTCCTTTTCAAACACCATTTTATGTTTTTGTGGGCATAAACTTTAAACTTTGCCATGACTTTATACTTTTTTAAACACTGTCATTGGTTTAATTTCTTTTTCTTTTCTTCAGGCATGGATTTCTACCAAATAACAACTCTGTGGATACAGTGATCAAAGCCAGCAAGACGGTTCGTCAGTGTGAAACTCCAGTCTTTGATGATGGTGATGATGTTGACAGTGACTTTGATGTTGACTATTAGCAATGGAAAGAAGACTTTCTGAAGGAGATGCAATAAAAACCGAGCTGTACCTGCCTTATCACATCTGTGAACAAGGGAGAAGAAAGCAGTACCAAAATCTCTAAGATATATTTGGATTTAGTCAAAGAACAGAGAATTTTAACTTTTTGCAAGAAATTGTTGTCTATCTGTAACAAGGTACCAAACTGGAAGAAACTCAAACTTTGTTTTGACTGGAGTAAAAAAAAAAAAAAAAATATGCTTAAATGGCAGTTAAAAAGATTTTCTGTGCAGTTATGTATACATGTATCTATGATTTATTTGAGTAGAGTCTGTATCATGTTAAATTTTCTAGTTCAAATACTATTTTGTTAAAAAAAAAACCTTCTGCTTATTAGATTATGCTAAATTGTTAAAACAGATTTTACTGTTAAGAAGTTTTTATTTATTAACCCTTTTGAGACTGAACCTCATTTGAAAATTCAGTGCCAAGAAGACAGAGCTTTTTCATCAAAATCTATATAAAATCACAGAACATAGCATACTATCATAGAAAACACCATTGAAAGACCCAAGAAATGCAAGAAGCAATCTGATTGGCTGGTACAAAGACCAGCCAGCTAATCTCGAGGCTTGTATTATCAGGCAAATGGATCAGCCCAGTCATCTTCTTCGTCATTCGACATATCGGCTGTTAGATCAGCTCTGTTGTCTCCTGAGGTTTCATTCCAGTATATTTCATACTGAATCCTGTCTCAGAAAAATCAATTTTTTTTTCCGTTAAATCAGACATTGTTGCTTGATTTATTCTAAGTGTCATTTAGATAAATTGAATTAATTCTTTGTGTTATTCATGTTGTTCCGACACTGTTCCAGCTGATTACTTTCTACAACCTTTGTCAGGTTTTTTATTGCGATGCTCACAACATAACAACATAAAGAATGAGATTCCTTTTTAAAATAACTTTTGAGTATGGACTCTTTTCAAAAAAAAAAAATATTATTTTTGTTATCTTACTTTTCAGATGTTTCAATTTGAGGTTCGTTAAATGTCATTTTGTTCCATTTTTTAATGTGCTTCGCATATTTGTTGTTTAAATTACATAAAATATCAGATCAGATCAGTTTCACTTTTATAAAAGTAACAAATGTTCAATAAAATGTTTTAAATAAAATATTTGCTAGCCATTATAGTTGTGGGATTATTTGAATACTAAACTATTCTTGCATTTGTAACCAAAAAGTATCATTGGTTAAAAAATTAGGTACGATTGCTGTTAAATTTTATTTATTTATCATTAACCCAGCAGTCATAATCCGTAGTAAACACTACAAATTGGATAACCTAAAGAAAATACTAATCCAAGAAACATCATAAATTTCACTAAAGAAATTGGGATCTACAGAAAAATCTAAAAAAAAACAAAAAAATACAAAGGATGCATTTTTGAAAAACAAAATTACCAGCTATATATTTTTTGGAAAAAGAAAAATATCTATTACCAGCTATACATTTGTTAAAAAAAGGAAAATATTACCAGCGATACATAATTGAAAAATTATTACCAGAAAAAGAATTTTTGAAGGAAAAAATATTACCAGAAATAGATTTAAAAAAAAAAATTTCCAACAATAAATTTCGTCGGTATTAAATGACCCATTGAGGTTGATATGCCGTAAAACCAAACCAAACCAAACCAAACCAAACCCAGCAGTCATTTGGCCAAAATAGGCAAACAAATGGGAGTTAAAAGATATATCAAAGACCATTGTCATTATGCAGGAAACAGGAATAACTCTGAGACTTTGAATTAGGAAAGTGTTTAAGGCAATAGAAGAAGTAGAATTATCTTCTATCAAAATGTAATCAAAATATATTTTGATTTCCTTTTTGAACATGTCTGAAGTTTTGGCATTGACTGATAAAAAAGGTAGTAAGTTCAACTCATTCACTACTCAATGTGAAAAATGATATTTTTCTATGTTCAGATCATTGAGCAGTGGTTGAATTTTTAATTGATGTCTTCTGTTGGATTTATACTGGCACTTAGTAAAATGTATCTCAAAATCTATGCCATCAGTTGAGTTTATTGTTCTAAATACCTGAATTAAATCAAGTCTAAGATTTGAATAAGTCAGTTTGACTTGAATTTTGATTTAATTCTCATGAAAATGATTGCTTTATTCTCTGACCATTCTCAGTTGGTTTAAACTGAACTTTTGGCTTTGATTTGAATTGTTAACCTCCTGCAGCTTTCTGATGGAAAATGGAATGACTAAAATAATGTGTTAAATATTTTTAGAAATGTGTAATGAATTAGCATTCATTATATTTATTTGAACACTTTCTGCTTAAACTTTTTGAATCCTGTCTATAACTTCATTATTTACTACAACCTGAATGTCCTGTAAGAGAACATTAAGTTGATATTAAGGAAGTGTATTTTTAAACTTGAAAATTATAATGGCTTGAAAATAAGTAATAAAATTCCTAACTTGTAAAGACAATCAAATACATCTTTATTTTTGTCAAAGTATCAATTGGCTAATTTAGAACTTCATTAAAGGTATGGCAGTATTTCTTTTATAGAAATTTAAAGAAATCAGTGTCATATTTCCTCTATTACACTAAACCAGTGGTTCCTGAAATGTATGGCGTGCCTCATAGGTGTGGCAGAAGAGGGTAGCAGTTGGAGCGGAATGATTGAAAGACAAAGATTTAGAAACAATTTCAAAAAAAAATCATATGCCAAAAATCAATATAATTTCAAGATTTAAAATATTGTTATGGATTACTTGTTATTGTATGCATGCAACCCAGTATAAATAGTTATAAATAATTATCATTGTGATATTTTTACATTATATCAAGTATTAAGAATATATTAACTAGGATTTACAAATTAGAGGAAATTGTTATCAATGATAATGATCTGACTTTGAATATGCGGTTATCTCCCTTTAACTCTCTCTTTATTTTTAAATGTACTTTTTATCACATAAATTTAAGCTAAAAACGAACAGGGTAATGGTGAAAAGACAAACCTCACAAAGAGCTACAAAAAATAGGACGTTGTAGAGAGCAATATAAATGTAGAATTTAATTTTCCTATAATTGCTCTGTGGCTCAGGTGTGGGTGAGGGCTTAAAATTGTTATCATTTTATATTTTCATTTTCTCGACCCAGAGAAAAAAATGTTTGATGACTATGGCTCTAAACTGTATATTTATATATTAGAATTATTTATATGATAGAGGGGGGGTATATAGGTGTGTTCATTGTTTATGGCTTTGTTTTGGATGTCATTTTTGTTAAATTTTAATGTTTTGTGGAAAAAGAATTATTCATTTAAAGTTATTGAGCAAATCATTTTTTTTTTTTATTTTGTAAATTATAGTATGAAACAGTAAAAATGCATTTTAATTATTGATAGGATTGTGTATTTTTTCAAAAAGAGTTTCTGCTTCATTTTATCACTTATTTGTTTGTGCTTGTTTTTGTGTTGCTCTGTGGAATCTGCTACGTGTATGAATAGAGAGATTTCTGCTTTTAATCACTGTCTTTTCAATAGTTTTTTTTTTTTTTTTTTTTTTTAAAGTGTTTCACCCTAAGCAAGGCGGGAAGCCACTAGCACACAAGGGATTACAGAGAGTTGGAGTGAGAGCAAATAGGAGTGATAGAGAAAAAGATGAAGAGAAGGATAGGGGATAGATCAAGGCATCTGGAGATGTCAATTGACATTACATTTGAATAGTTAGAGATTATAGCTATCAGGGAAACAAGAAAGGGGGGAGTTCCACAGGCGAGTTTTTTTTGTTTTTTTTTCACTTTTATAATTTTCATTTATTTGTAAGTAGTAATTAAACAGACATAGTTTTATCCTGTTTTTTGTGACATGGCAAAACAGTTTAACTAGCTAGCCTCTCACTGCACAAAGTTTGTTTTCTTGATTTGTATAAGCTTCTTTTTTTTTTTTTTTTTTTTTTTTTTTTTTTCACAAGGCGTGAAGCCACTAGGATGCAGGGGGTTGCAGAAGATTTGGTGCAAGAGCAGATAGGAGTGGTAGAAGAAAAGATGAGGAGAGGGATAGTGGGTAGATCAAGGTAACTGGAGGTGTCGATTGACATTACATTTGAATAGTTGGAGATTATAGCTCTCAGGGAAACAGTAATTGGGAAGGGTGTTCCACAGGCGAGGGGTGCGAGGTATGAAGCTATTGGAGTAGAAGAGACAGCTACATTTAAAAGTTTCTACAGTGTAAGGGTGGGAGTGGGATGCCAGCATCATAGGGCGCTTGAATTCATGGAGTCTGGCAACCAGTGAAAGCAGCTCATTGGAGCAATTACCATAGAAGTATTTGTAGAAAAGACAGAGAGAGGCGACGACGCATCTGTGAGAGAGTGACTGTACACGAGATGCCAGATCAGGGCCAATTATATTACATATCCGTCTCTGGATCTTGTCAAGAACTCCGAGGTAAACAGAAGGTGCCCCAGACCATATATGGCAGCAATACTCCATGCAAAGGTGAATGGTTGATTTGTATATTTGAAGTATCGATTCCGGGGAGAAAAATTTCCTGGTGCGGCACAGAGAGCCAACTTTCCTTGTGGTGGAAGAAGCAATTGACTCAATGTATTTGTTCTATCTCAGGTCAGCAGTTAACATGAGATCAAGCAGACGCAGGGAGTTGCTCTCAAGAAGCTGACTATCAGACATTTTAATGGGGGGCAGGGAAGGATCTCTATGGTGAGCTTTGCGAGAATCTCTAAAACTTCACTAACCATCATTAAAATTTAAGCTAAAAACGAAAATAAAAAGTAGGAAGAATAAAAATGATTATACAGAATAAAAAAAAATATGGTGGGCAACAACAATTAGGTGAATCTTTCATTTTTTTTTTTCTAAATTGTGAACAATCTATAATGGAATAGCAAAAAATTAGGGCTGGACATTGAAAAAGTTAACT